CAAACCCAAAACCAACACACACACACCAAAAAAAAAAAAAAAGACAGTCTTACGAAACAAATCGAAATCTCAAAAACTCTTGTGTGAAAGAACCTCCTCTTTCTTCTACTGCCCAATCCCCTTCGATTTTTTTTTTTTTTGCTTCAATGGATGTTTGATTTGCCCTTGGACTGCCTTTGGTGAGCAAGATTTGCGTCTTTTTTTTTTTTTTTTTCTTTTTTAAGTTATAGTCTTCTTTGTTTGGTTGCTGTGTGTAAAATGGCGGATGTTCTTACAAATCTGAGGAACTTACTTCTTTACTTGTCTGTTTTCTTTTCATTGTTGTTTTGAGTGTCGGTAGATCGAAACTGTAACTGATTTCCATTACTAGTGAGAGCTCACTACCACGAGATTTAGTTTTCTTTTCTTTCTTTTTTTTTTTCCTGCTTCAGATTCGCTTCTTTTTCCATATTAGATTTGCGTTTCTCGGATTTCTTTTCTTAGATCGATTCACCAATCACAAATTAGGTTTTTTTTTTTTTTCTGTGGATATTTTGCTCTCGTCGATCCCCTGGCCTCTAGTGTAGGCAGAAAATGTTGATTTGAAAAACCTTATTTTTAGGGATTATTTATGGATTCATACATTATTATGTATAGCTTATGAGTGTATGTATTGGACAAACGAGTGCTTTCAACACTTTTTAAAAATGTAGCTTGAATCTTTGTCACTGACAATGTTGATTGATATGTTACTCACTTCATTAACCCCTCGGGAATTGCTGTGGTTAAAGTGAATCCCTTTTTTTAGGCATACTTGACAATACAGATTAAAAATGTTTCAGTTTATCAACTTGTCTGCTCAGGAACTTGAATTAGTGGTGTGCTCATCATTCTTATTTCGTCTTTTCCATATTTGTGTTTTTTTTTGTAGTTTACTATGGACCACGAAGGTGTCATGGTTGCTGATGGGATTGACTCTACTCTTGCTAATGGTGGCTTGATTACGGAAAGTGTCTGTCATCAAGAAAATGGGGTTGCGTCTGACGAAACCGTTGATACTATTGAATCACAAAGTCAGGATCAGAATTCGGGAAACATTTCCACTTTGGATGCTATTGAACACCTCAAAGAGGCAGCTGAGGTTTGCGACTTCGGATTGTCAATCTACTAGCTTGTCATATCAACACTTGTAATTAAAATCTGTGTTTTCTCTCCTGGTAGGGCACACAAGTTGAAAATGTAGATGATTCAATGTGTATGAAAAGCGAAAAGGCTCAACGGAAGCTAAAGCATGACAAACTATCTGGTGGTAAGAATATTCCATCGGTTCACATCAAAAAGAACAAGGAGGTCAAGACTGCAGGCGCTAAAGTGGCTGCATCAAATGGTTCTGTTGCTCCTAATGCACAGACTACAGAGCCTCTTAAAAGCAAATCATTCAATGGTAGAGAGGCTCAAGTTACAAAGGTAATCATCCCTCGCAATTTGCTGCTAGGTTTCGTTGCTTTGGCTTATGCATATGTTTGTGTGATCTTCTTTCTGGCTGAAGATTATTTCTGATTTTCTTCATTTTCCCTATCAGCAAGGGAAGCATGACTCTGCACCTGCTGAAAGCGCTGCCGGGTATTGAGTCCTCATTTTTGAATTTGGAGTTTCTTTCCTTATTGGTCTTCTCATGGGTACACTGCTAAAAGTCAAAATATTTGCCAATAAATGGCATGCAGATCGTGGTGCTAAGTCTTCTCGTTTCTCTTTTAGTCCCTAATCAAACGTTGAAACTGGAAATTTCTTTCCTTTTTTAATACAGGGACAAGGTGAAACCAAAGCCTCAAAAGAAACAAGCACATGAGACATCTGAAGATGATACTCAGTCTTCTAAGTATTACTTTTTCCTTTATTTACCAGCTCTTCTTTCTTGTTTCTTGCTGAAAGCTGAGGCCTTCCTGCATTTGCCTCTCATTTTTAACAGTTGTGTTGATTCTTTAACTTGATGGTTTCTTAGTAGTCCGAAAGCAGACGATGGAAAACCTCGTAAAGTTGGTGCACTTCCAAATTACGGGTTCAGTTTCAAATGCGACCAACGGGCTGAAAAGAGAAGAGAGGTTTTGTCTTTTGGTTCACAATTCTTATACACTCTCTACAACGTAATTATTGAAAATCATATTTCTGCTTTTGTATGCTGCAGTTCTATGTCAAGCTCGAAGAGAAGACTCATGCAAAAGAAGAGGAAATTAATAGCATGCAAGCCAAGTCCAAGGTTGTCTCATAGACCCTGTTTTATGTCACAATGTTTAGATTCCCGGTCTCCTCTAATAAAATCCTTGGTTTCCTCGCAGGAAACACAAGAAGCTGAGCTTAGGATGCTAAGGAAGAGCTTGAACTTCAAAGCCACACCCATGCCTAGCTTTTATCAAGAACCTCAGCCGCCTAAAACAGAGTTAAAGAAGGTATTTCTCCTCTCTGCTCAAGCTCAACCATGATCTCACTTTTTATTGAAGTACTAATACGCACATTTCATGTGAAATTGTTGTTTATGTCCAAGAAGATACCACCAACGAGACCCAAGTCTCCCAAACTTGGGAGAAAGAAGACTGCTTCTGGAGTGGATTGTGAAGAAACTCAAACACCTCGCCTTGGTAGGCTAAGCCTAGATGAGAGAGCTTCTAAAGATAACTCAGCTGCTAAGGGAATTATGCCAACAGTTGAGCTGAAGAAGCAACCAGTGCGCAAGTCACTTCCAAGATTGCCATCTCAGAAAACAGCTCTCCCCGATGGAAAACCCGCCCCAGCAAAAGCTGCCACAACCTCAGCAAAGGTGAAACCTGAAAAAAAGAAAGTTGAAAAAGATGCAGAAACCGTAAACCAGTCTTCACATCCTGTAGAAGAGGAAGCACAAGTGACTGTATCATCCAATGCTGATGCAGAAGATTCACATGAGGTTGTATCTCCGAGGATGAATGAAGACAGAGCCGACAAGTCCATGGAGGTATCTGAAGCGGTTGCTGTTGAGCATTAAAAACTCTGCGGTACGATCATTACTCTCAAGACTCATCATATCTCTCTTGCATTGATTAAGGAGGACAAAGGAGAAAAAGAAACCGTATTATATTTAAATATATATCTTCAGCCTAAACTTATATGAGAAGAGAGATGGGTAAAAAGAGTGAAAAGAATTATATAGGTCTGGTTCTAAAGGTTGCTGCTTTTATATATTCCTATGTTTGATGGTAATGTTTTTAATCTTTTAAGTTGCTTTTTGATGTCAAGATCTTCTTTTCTTTTTTTCTTTTTTTGATGCTTTGATTCCTAAAAGGTGAATATTCAGGAGATTCTGCGTTTCTTTCTGTCTGTGTATTCTTTCTTTTTTTTATATTCTCATTTTTGTTATTATGGCTTTATGTGCAATTTCTTTTGTTATAATTGATTCTTCTCCTTTGGCTCATTCTTAAAAAAATTGTGGCTATCCATGAGAGTAATTAGTAAGTAAGATCTTGTAGGATATGGATTTTGGGGTTTCGACAATAATCTAAACGTACTGATAATGAAGCAAATAAAGATTGAATTAATAGTAACATTCCACAAAAATAATATTATATTTTTGGAAACTGCTTGTCAAATCTAAGCCAGATAGGAAAAAATGTTAAAAGCATTCTATCTTGTGATTTGCAAATTGCAACTGTCAAAGACACAAAAACAAAGGGTATTAGCGACAGTTGAGCATGACATCTCTCGCAACCAGAGATCAATAATTGATTCTCTCAGAAGTCTCATTTCCACACCTTTATAGCTAGCTTTAACCATAAGGATACAAAACCACTTTTATCATCTTTGGAATCTCACAATTTGCCACAATAATTCAGCTTTGGACTTTTGGTACTTTAGTTCGTCTATTCCTTATTCATTAGCATCAATCTACTTCAAAATGCAGAAGATATTTTCATGATTAAACCGGACTTTTGAGTTTTTTTTTTTTTAATTGTATTACACCGGTTTAGCATCAGCACAAAGAGTCAAGACACAACTGATACAGATGGGTTATAGGTAGAGAAACCAAGCTCATGTTTACTACTTGCTTCCTCTGCCTCTTCTTCCTCGTCTTCTTCTTCAGCATCCCATAGAAACCGAGCATACGATGCAAGAACATGACTGCGATAAACACCACTCATTAAATTATTATCAAATCTACGGGACCCTAAAAATTATTATCATTATGATACTATCTATCAATGATGATGTATCGTACCATCTATTGCTACATCACATATAATTATATAAATTGCAGACGCAGAGCGCAAAAAAAAAAAAATAATAATCATGAATGATGTCTCTGTCATATTTGACGTGTGAAGCTATTGCTCTATAACAAATTGACCAATCACTTCTTCAAAGGATGGATATAGAGGAAATCATATTTGATCCACAAAAACATTTAATGAACCGATATTCCCATGTTATAATCTAACAATGCCCAAAACATGATTTGAAGTCTTATCATGGAGAGAAACTTTAAAAAAAGCCCAAATCCAGAGCTATGTTAAACACATACCAGTCATTAGGAGAAGATTGAACAGCCTGATCAAAGTAAGAATGAGCACGAACACCATCTCCATGATTTTGCCATATCAAATCTCCATACATAGACAGCAACTCTCCATCTCTTCCATTCTCGGACAACATTGCTCTCTCACAGTACTCCTCTGCTTTCCTCCCATCACCTTTCACCTGCACAAATTAAAACATTTGTTAAGTTTAATTTAATTAAATATCCCCTCAATTGATACACTTTTTAACTTCCTTTTTGTTTAAACTGTTAATGGATGAAGTCTATAAATTTACATTTCCTAAATGGTAATACATGGATTAGTAGATTCAACCAATCAAAAACCCAAAAAATCAAAACACAAAGGGGTCGACTTCAGTCATAGCAATATAAACGTACTTTGTGTTTTTTTTTTTTTTTTAACTTGTCTCTATATATAAGCCCTCACGTGTATATATTTTTGTTTGGGTCAAATAACAGTAAATAAATGTTTCCAAAATTAGCAAGTATAATAAAGGATTAATTGGGTTTTTAGTACATTTTTAAAACATAATTGTAGAAGTAGTACATTTACTATTTATTATTAGCAAACTAATACATTTTTACTATTTGGACACTATTTAGACACTATTAAAAACCCCTTTAAATCTAATAATTAAAAATTTTCATCAAAATATATTTGTTTTCTATAAAATTTCAATTACACAAAAATCTGTATTTTTTTCTCTATAATTTGATATGCATTTTTAAAAAAATAATTTCATATATTTTTCAAACAAATTTTGATACGTCCAGCTAACCTTATGTACAGTTGTGTGTCGATGTATACAGCGGTCTATATATACGTATAATTGTATGTGTACATATATATTATGGTCTATATATGTATATTTATTTATGTGTAAATATGTTTATATGTAGTTGTTTCTCTTTATACAAATATTTGATGTACAATAATATGTTACTGTACAGTTGTCTGTCTGTACAGATATCTGAAATAGTAAAATTGTACTATTTTGCTAATTGTGAATAGTAAATGTACTATTTTTATAATTATGTTTCAAAAACGTAGTAGTTTGCCAACACACCCTATAATAAACACAATCTTGAAATAACAGAGGAGATTTAAAAAAGAAGACAGACCTCTTTGAGGAAACGAGCGTAGTTAGAGAGAAGAAGAGTGTCTCCGGGATAACGTTGGATCATGTCTTCATAATAACCATCTACACTCCCACCTCCGCCGCTGTCACCTCCGGCACCGTCTCTGCCTCGACCACCAAATCCACCGTTAGAACCTCCCTGAGGGAACCGAGATCCTTCCAAAACCTTATACGATGCAGTTTCTTCGGTTTTAGTTCTGGTCTCCGGCGGCGACTGAATCTTGTAGAGATTTCCATCCGAAGAAGCTCTGGTAATAGATTTAGCACCAAGAGGAGAAGCAGAGACGGATCGAGCCGTCGTAATGACCACCCGTGGTGGAACAGACGGTTTCTGGGCGGCGCGTATGTTAAGGTCGAGTGATGAAGCGCTTCTCATTATCATATTGTGTTATTTAGTTTGGGAATAATAATATTTCAGTGGAGCGGAGAGAAGAGAGGATGAAAAGATATTTAGACTGCAAAAATATCATCATGGAGTTGTTGACGTTCTTGTCTGCGCCCCCACTATTAGTTTCCTATTATCAAATTGAGCCCCAAAGTTTCAACTTTTACATTCAAACCCCCTTCACTTGTGTTTATACTTTTTTTTATCGTAACATATGTGCAACAAGCCTTCTTCCTTTATTTTACTGATTTTACTTATACAAAAAGGATTTTATTTTTACTAATTTTCCACGGTCATGACCAAGCCAAAGAACACGTACGTATATATCGAATAATCTTTGCTGTACACAAAAACTTATAAAGCAAATTATAGAATCGTTACGTTTTTATGTACAAGCCTTCTTCCTCCCAAAGATCAACAAGGAAATGCACCATGTCCTGTGTGCATATTATATCATCATCATCATCAATTCTAAAGAAAAACTTCTTAGCAACAATAATGAGTTAATGACACATACATAGTTAGAATGTATCCTAATTATGCGTGCGGATAAAGAATCTTCTACTGCAAATTAACATTAAAAAAATGTGATGAGCAGAAATCTAAATAACCAAATCCAAATCACCTTGAGAGGTATTGGTCGAGGAAAAAGCTTGTTTGTGCTCAATAAGCTATCATACGTCGAGTTCCAGCTGAAAAAATTCATCGTAAAGTAAATATTGGAAGTACAAGTTTCATCTCAAATTGAACAATTTTAACAAACCAAATCATATACTGTATACACATGGAAACAATTTGTTCCAGTTGTCACCTTATTGCAGGTTCTCGAACTTGGCATTGTTGTTGTCTGGTTCTGCATTCACGCCATTGTTGTCTTGTTTCGTTCCACAAAATAAGTCCTTCAATGCAAGGAAATGAATAAGGAAAATTTTTTGAATGTATTGAATAAGTCTTGCTTCTATTAAGAGAGCTTAAAAGCAAAGTATAAAATCTTAATTCTGAAGGATAAATTGAACGTAGACATGCGTTTCCTATATTGTTTTATGGTCTTATGCATATGCAGCCAATTTTGATTGTTTGGGTTCAGTATAATTTGTTTCTCTCAAATCAACTAAACCTTGCAATTGTAATTCCTTTGTTAATTGTAAATGTCAATGCTAAACAAACAAAAATGAAATACTGTATATGAAACTTTTTACGGATTTTTTTTTCCGTGTAAACAAGAACACAAAAACACAGAAGTTTTTGGCATTTAAAACAACCGAGGCCTTAAAACCACAAAGATACATCCAAGACTTACCATGGTTTACAAATTTGGTAGAGTTGCTTGTGCTGCACCGGGGATCAAATGGCGGGTTTGAAGGTTGGGACCAAACAGTGCTATTGTGGTCTATATCACATGTAGTTGTGCTCCATAGACCGTCTGATGAATCACCATTTCCTTTATTCACAACTTTGCCTTGGATTTTGAGTCCCTTTGATGGCTCATCGACTTCTACGACTAAAGGCCTTTGTCTGTTGCAGCATCCGAAACAGTTTATGCTCTGATCATTAAATATACATTAAAAAAAATATTAACGTGTCAATCATCTTTTGCTATATATGCATGTGTTTAATCTAAGCGGAAATTAAATCAGTATATATATATATGGTTCTCTCACATTAGCAAGAGTTTTGCATTTTGATCTTAGAGATTCCATAAGCCAAGGAAGGGAGAGCTTGGAAGTAATTATTAGCTGCCAGGAATTAGATGAAAACGCAGCAATGCTTCTTACTGAATTGTGTTTGTGTGTTTGATCAAGAATGAAGAACAAGAACACATAGCTAGCTAATACAAAGGACAAACGTAACTATGAACATGAAAGAGAACATAAAATCGAGAGAGAATTAAGGAAACTCGAACGAAAAAAGATAAGCATGGAAGTATAGGTAATGTCTCGTATGACAAGCAAAGACAGTACTTAACGCACAGAAAGATTCTATAAATTAGAACTTACAAGCAAGCAAGGCATAATTACATTGTTTGAAGTTGATTAGATGTCTCTGGCCTCAAGCCCTTAACATTCACATGGTTTAACAGAATCTTGAAAGAAAAAATAAGGAATCAGTAGTTATTAAAAATAAATAGTGTCTAGGTGGGAGTTATATTATATAGTTTACTAATATACATGTGAACTATTGATACAAGATATAACATAAATAGGTAAGTAGTGGATAACGTTATAATATATATCCGGTATGTTTCTAAAATCTCTTTTGGTAACCAATAAAATTCAGATCTAAGCCTATAAGATATAATCTCATGAGAATGAATTTGTAATCTTTAAGATTTATAATATTATTTTTCTCCCTTTTGGTTTATTTAGTTTTGATTTTGGGTTCGAAGATTCTTTGAATGTGTATGATCGTCTAGCAAAGCGTAAAGTAGTAATTTCCCTTGCAGCATCACACATGAGTTTTTTTGTTTTCACTTTTGACATATTGACAAGAACAAATAAAGTTTGAACCCCGCCGTCGTCGTCGGTGAGTTAATAATATAAATCTCACAACACAATTAATAGGTGCAGGCAGGCAGGTCTACGGAATCCACGCAATGAGCTAAGGTGGAGCCACCCGTACCAGATCATTTCCACCCAATTCCACTAACAACTAGATGGTATAGATTTGATTCCCCAACTCCTCTCCTCTCCTTAAAGACGTGCTATTCTTTCATTTCCCCATAGTACCCTTTATAACGTTAACATTTAACATTGAAAAAGTCTAAACGTAGTCGTTTCGTCGTAATTTTTTTTGATGGAGAAAGCACTGATTAGTCAGTTCACCACCACCACCACCATGTTCCCCAAAGCTTGAGATGCGGCTTCTTTGCTTTTAATTTTGAATACAAAAGAGAGATATACATACGCTACGCTATTATTATTCTCCTCCTCCTCCTCCTTCTTCTCTCTCTCTTCTCAAGCTGATCACTCTCGGAATCTGGTTTTCATTTTTGGATCATCGTTGTTGCGGAATCGTCAAGAGATTCACAAAAAAAACAAAAAAAAAAGATGTTTGATGGTCTCCTAGGCCGCGGTTTTGCTCCTAAGGGGTTTGTTTTCTCTACTGCTACGATCTTCTCTCCTCTTTGTTTTCAATTTTTGGGTAAATCGAATTTTTAATGGTGTGATTTTTTTTGTTTTTTAATTGGACCAGAAAACCACTGATAAAACTCACTAAGAATCGGATCGATGTTCTTCGGAGGAAGAAGACTGCTACAATCAAGTTTCTCAAGAAGGATTTGGCTGATCTCGTCATTAACGGTCACGACGCCAATGCTTATAGCAGGGTATTTCAGTTTTTTCGTTGTTCTTCTCAGAGATTCTTCTTCTACTTGAGATTCAATAACATTCGGATTTTAATATCCTCAGGTTGGAGGGCTTCTTGATGAATTACGGTATCTCTGGAATCTTGACTTTCTTGAGCAGACCTGTGATTTCGTATACAAGCAGCTCTCTACGATGCAAAAGATTGGGTATTTTTCAACTCTATGCCTTTTGTTATTTATGGCATTTCCAATTTTCCAACTTTTATTATGTTTCTGCCATTCTTTTTAGATTTTGGGTATCTTAATTTATGTTTTTTGTGCTTTTGCTTGTGTTATTCACGGGTAGTTGTAACATACTCTTGACTATATCAGTGTGTTAGGTGTTAAATTGAAGATCATGTTCCTTAACATATTTTTGAAAATTGAATAGTGTTGGACTAATGTCATTTACCTCATGTTTTGGCATTTTCTTATTCACATTGTTCCTGTTTACTTAGGGATGAGAATTGTCTTCTGTGGCTTAGTGGAACATTCTCTAAGATAACTCAAGTATTGTAGGTTCATTAGTTGATTTCTGTTTTTTTTTTCCAGGGAATGTCCAGAAGAGTGTCGTGAAGCTGTGTCGTCGTTAATGTTTGCAGCCTCTGGATTTTCTGAGTTGCCTGAGCTGCGTGAACTGAGGCAAATGTTTCACGAAAAATACGCAGATTCACTTGGATTGTTTGTTAACCAAGAGGTAAGAGTTTTTCTACTTCATTCAATTCTCAGTTAGACCATGTGGGAAACTTATTCACAACTAAGCACTTACTTGTTTCTCTTATAGCTTGTTGAGAACATGTCATCAAAGCCATTCTCTATGGAGAAGAAAATTAAGTTAATGGAAGATGTTGCATTGGAGTTCTCTATTCGCTGGGATTCCAGAGATTTTGAGAAAAGGATTGAGAGACAGAATAGTACTTCAGCAAAGGTATGACCATCAGTAATTTTTATCAAGGGACAATAAACTGAAATATTCGGATAGGTATTGAATTATGATTTCTCTCATGGACATCAACAGGAGACCCCAAAAAGAACTTACGACAAGTACAAGCCTGTAGACAGAAACATGGCCTTGCCAAAAAGAGAAGAGTTTGCAGGTTTTGAAAATGGTCTTAGCTTGAACAGAAAAAAGGCTGAGGCATCAGAAAGAAGAGATCCTTTGTTTCAACCTGATAAAGAAAGTTATCAGAATGGTCTTAGAGGAAATCAGCATAGCCTAACATCTAAAGAAAGGTCAGATAATGTTAGCCATGCCTCCAGATCGGAAAGCAAGGACAATAAGGCAGAAAGGAAAGAGTTTCATTTGTCGCATAAGCAAGCATCTGCTAGAGAAAGACATCAGCCTATTTTTAACGAAGGTGACACTATTGTGATGAAGGTCAAACATGAGAATCTCGGTCAAGGGAATGGACATCGACCTGGTGTAGTTGACGCACATAAGAAACCCGAGGTTATTGCCCCAGAAAGAAAAGAGTTTTATAGAGAAAGACATCGACCCATTTTCAACGAAGGTGACACTATAGTAATGAAGGTCAAGCGTGAGAACCATTTTCAAGGGAATGGAAATCAAAATGGTGTAGTTGATGCGTATAAGGAAACAGAGGTTAATGCTTCAGAGAAACATAAGCCTAGCAGCACCAAAAGAGCTGACAAGTTAGTTATCGGATTTAAACAAGAGAGTTTCTTTCAAGGATACAAACATGAGAAAAACGAAGAGCATGCACATCAGAAAGTGGAAGACAATACCTCAAGACCTCCGAAGCCAAGTAGCAAGTTAAAGAGAGCGGAATCTACTGATCCAGGATCTAGACACCGTAATGGTTGGGAGAGTAAAGAAAATGCAGTTCTTGTGGGAAAGAGCACGGAAGAAGATCCATCTGTTGGTAAAGTTAAGGGTGGTGAAAATGAATATGGTCAATCAAATCCAACATGGAAAGTTGAGGAGCGAGAAACAGAGAGAATGAAATCGCCTTTCTACAAATCCCTTCCACCTCCGTATGTTAAATCTAGTAGTAAAGCAAGGAATGAAAAAGCTGAAGCTTCGGAGAACACAAAGGCTCGTTTTGATGGCGAAGAAGGGAATCATGCAGACATTGATAAGAATGTTTCTGGGGTAGAGAAGGGAATTGAAGGAGGTCATCTTCAAGTAGATGAAATAGATAATGCATCTCTGAAACGGCGAACTAGTAGAAGAAAACACATTGTACAATCAGTTGGTGATGATGATCATACAAGAAGCCGAAGAAGGGAAAACTCAAGGAAAGGGCTTCAAGTCTTAGTTGATGAGGATGAGAAGGACAATGAGGAAAAGATAATGGATAAACTTCTCATGCATTACAGTAAGAAACCTTCAAGTTATGAAAAGAACAATGTACAACAAGGATCCAAAAGCAGACGTACACATCTTAAAAAAAGTGATTCTGATGAAGAGATGATGATTCCTCAACCCGTCAGGTCACGTTCATTACCCCCTGAACAATGGGCTGAGCCATCTGAACCTAGAAAAACGTTTGCCCGTGCAGCCTCGTTTCAGCCAGAACGTTCGAGTGAAGCTAAGCACGTTCACCCCAAGTTACCAAACTATGAAGATTTGGCTGCCAGATTTGCAGAGCTTAAAGGAATGTAGATTATACAGTTGATGCCTAGAAACGTAGATGGAGATTAAATACCCAATTCACATATTCGTTATTAACTTCTTCATAGTGCTTTGTCCCATATTGCATATGTATTATGGTCTGTTTGTTATACTAGTTGGGATTGGGAGAGTGACACATTGTTATGGACCCCAAATGTTGTTGATCAAATGTTTGCTTTTGGATTTTATGCATCAGTTTAATAACAAAGTTTAAAGGTACTGATGATTAACATGATTTTTCATTGAGGTTTAAGGTCCCTGGCCTATTTATATACAACAGTTGATCTTAAACTTGAATACATGCTAAATGCCATCTTGTTATATATAATTCTCTGTAATTTCAAAGATTAGGAGAAACGAGACTCTCTGTTTTGAGTTTTTAATCTTATCTAACGTTTATGATTAGGAAAAATGGAAAAACCTCAATTAAAAGGAAAAAGTCAACGGAACCCTTTTAAAGACAAAAAGGTCAACGTGAGCTGCACTGTGATTCTGTGAGCTCCGCTAGAAATCCCCAAATTCGTTCAGAAACCCTAAATTCTTCTTATCTCGATTTTCACCCCCGAAATTGTGGGTTATTTTCTCATCTTCATCTCCATCTTCTTCAAATCCTCAAAATTAAATCGTATTCAACTATATCATACGAACCCAAATTTCGAGGGCTCTACGCACTGTTCACAGTTTGCGACACTTTCAGAACAGACCCTTTGTGCTTGATAAGCATTAAAAAGTTTGGAAGTTTCCGAGAATGAGTAGATATCTGGCACGATATATGGTATCTAGATACTTCTCATCTGTCCCTTCTCGTCCTCTGCACGTTTGCGTCGTTGGGAGTGGACCTGCTGGTTTCTATACTGCTGACAAGGTAATCGCTTCTTCTCTCCCTTTGTATTTTTTTTTGTTTGCCTAATGTTCTTCTATGTGTTCAAACATATTCTGCAATTAACGACTCTTAACTCGTGATTTTGATGATGGCTTGTAATTAGTTATTGAAGGCACACGAAGGAGCACGCGTTGATATAATCGATCGGTTGCCCACACCATTCGGACTTGTTCGCTCCGGTGTTGCGCCTGATCATCCTGAAACTAAGGTAACACTGATTAGCTTAATCTTGTTCAGCGAGAGAGAGAGAGATTAGGACGTTTTCCATTGAGCTTGATGTCAACAACAATGCTTTCTACAGATTGCCATTAATCAGTTCTCACGAGTGGCACAACACGAACGTTGCTCTTTTTACGGGAATGTAAAGCTTGGATCGGATTTGTTACTTTCTGAGCTGCGGGATTTGTATCACGTGGTTAGACTTCCTTAACTATACGCTTATATTATTTAGATAAGCAACTAATTAGCTCAAACGTATTCCTAGGAACTAGCACACAGAAACGTTTACAAATTAAAGGAAATTATTACTCATTAATTTATAATCATGTCTTCAACTTCAACTTCTTATGATAAGTATGGTTTGTTCAGGTTGTACTTGCATATGGTGCTGAAAGTGACAAAGATCTTGGCATTCCAGGTGAGGTATGCCCATTACAAATTTCCTGTGGCGGGATTAGGTGTTTTATTGTATTTTGACGGAAGTTAGTGGACTTTTGTTGCCTATACGTACTGGGTATCTATTCTGATGTATAAAGGTGACTTTTGTAGACTTTGAGTGGTATATACTCTGCAAGAGAATTCGTCTGGTGGTATAATGGACATCCTGACTACAGCGGTTTGAAACCTGACTTGAAAAGTACCGACACAGCTGTCATCCTTGGCCAGGTACTCTATTTTTGGTTTGCGATCCTCATTTTGGTAAAGACACCTTCAATTTTAAGAATCAGATAATTTTACTTTCTGGACAAAATAAAGCCCCTTTGCAATCATGCATTTGCATATTAGTCTTTAGAGGTCCCAATTTATAGAGTTTTAGGTGCAGTTTCTTTGCAACCATAATATGTTTTTCATTTGACATTTTATCCTCTCTAGTCTCTTAGCATTCTGACCTGTACGCCTGCTTGTGCATGCAAGCTTAATTTGTATGGGTTGACATGTGTAGTTTTATTCTAGTGAGATTCGTTTACTTTGCCTGGAGACTATTTGTTGTTGGTTAGCTATCCTTACCGCCGTAACAAGATGTACATATGAATAACATTTTGATGCCAAAATTTTCTCAGTATATGTTTCTCAAGACCTCTCTGACATATGATCCTTCAAATCTTAGGGTAATGTAGCTCTAGATGTTGCCCGGATTCTCTTAAGACCGACAACAGAGTTGGCATCAACTGATATTGCTAGGCATGCTTTATCTGCACTGGAAGAAAGCTCTATAAGGTCCCATTTGACCATTTAACTAGTTGAATCTTGTTCCGTTCCATCTTTCCTATAATTGACAACCAACTATAGTCCCTGATACAAAGTTGTAACATGTTCAGGAAGGTGTTTCTCATCGGAAGACGGGGGCCAGTTCAAGCAGCATTGACTGCCAAAGAGCTTCGAGAAGTTCTTGGTATTAATTGATCTTTAGATCATAGACTGAGCTTTTGATTGTTTTTTATAGATACCACAAAAATGATGAAGAAATAATATAAAAATGTGGTTAGGTCTGGTGGGTTTGGGTGTGTGCTGCCATTTTTCAGCTGGTACCTTATCTAAAGGGGAAGTGTGGTTGAATGACTTAAAAAAATTATATTGGCGTTTAGCATTCCTTGAATAAATGGGTAGGTAAATCACTGATCTCTAAAAGTAGCAGCAAAACTATATTTTTGGATAGGATCAGACCTTGAGTTTTTATTGTTTATCTTACAATTAGTTAAAGACTTAAAAAACTTGCTGGACACCTCTAACTTTAATTTCACTGTCTACTATGTTGTTCTGTTGCATATGGGACTGCTTCGGTGAATATTTTGCGACATTAGTTGATACTTGATTCTATATAAGATGTTGAATAGCAACTTTTTTTTTTACTCATTGCCTTAATTTGCTTGTCTTGACCTTCTTAGCTTTTTTTGTGATAATAACATACCATATCTTCTTTGTTACCGGCTACCCACTGACCTTTGTTATTTTCCCATTGATACGAATATAAACACATATATTTTTATAATGCAGGGATTAAGAATGTGCACATTCGAATAAAGGAGTCTGACATGAGTGTAACTCCTGCTGATGAGGTACTTGTGCTACTGACTTTCAATTAAAGTAAGGCTGAACTCGGTTATTTGCATTCTAGTGAAATTCTTGATACCTTCCCAAAATTTTTGTTGACACTCTTCTTTTTCTTCGAAGGAAGAAATGAAAAATAGTAGAGCCAGAAAGAGAATCTATGAATTACTGTCCAAAGCTGCAGCAGCAGCAGGAACATCCAAATCTGACCCTGATCAACGAGAGCTGCACTTTGTTTTCTTCCGCCAACCTGACCGGTTTTTAGAGTCGAATGAAAGAAAGGGCTACGTTTCCGGTGTAAACCTGGAAAAAACCATTCTTGATAGTAAGTGCTTCTCTATGTGAGCCTTTTGGTGTATCCTGGTTCTTCTGTGGATTTACTAACTGCTGTTGGAAACACTAAAATGTAATGGTGATTTCCTAGGATACAATAGTGTATTTTACTAACCACTTCATCCATAAACTTGTAGGTACTGAAAGTGGAAAACAAATTGCAGTTGGTACTGGAGAGTTTGAGGATCTTAATGGCAGGTATTATACTCTTAATTGAGAGTTCCTCAGTGTGTTTCTGTTGTAATAGTTATATCAACAATCATAAAAAATGAAAATGAAAGCATGTCCAATTTTGCAGTTTGATGCTGAAGGCCATTGGTTACAAGTCGGTTCCAATCAATGGTTTACCCTTTGATCACAAGAAAGGTGGTATAAGATGAAAGTGTGGTGTGATTGATATGTTTATTAGAAAAGGTTGAGTTCTTCTAACTTTTTGTGTGCCTCAATTGCATGTTTCAAGGTGCTGTCCCGAATGTAAGTGGTCGAGTGGTTAGTCAAACGTTAGAAAACTTATCACAGACTGAGCCGGGTTTATACGTATGTGGCTGGCTAAAAAGAGGACCAGTAGGCATAATTGCCACAAACCTGTACTGTGCCGAGGAAACGGTAAGCAACAAACTTGTTCACCCTGAACAGAAAACTGATGCTCTTTAACTGGGAGGATAAAATGTGTTTATTGCAGGTTGGTAGCATAAGTGAAGACATTGAAAAGGGTGTTTTCAAGAGCTCAAAAGCAGGAAGCAAAGGACTGATGCAATTGCTGGAGAAGAGAGAGGTGAAGAAGGTAGATTTTAGTGGGTGGGAGAAGATTGATGCCAAAGAACAACAAATGGGGAATGAGAGAAACAAACCCAGAGAAAAGTTAGTCACATGGAAGGATCTTTTAGCAGCAGCAGCAGCCAACTAGGCCATTTTTTTCCAACTAGGATATATTGTAAACGAAAAAACAATGTTACTATATTTTCATTTTTCAATTACAATTCCATATTGTTTACTTAATAATATGTCTTATTATTAAGTTTACTTTAGTTTTAGAAGTTTATTCCTCTTCTGTAGCACATTGGCTAATGCAAAAATCTTAGTTTTTTTATATTAAAAAAAAAAAAAATCTTAGTTTTTTTTTTACTCAGATGTTTAAGATTTTTTTTTTGTTATACAAATTAGATGGTTTTTAATATATTTTTAATGTAAAGTTAAAGCTTAGTTTTCTAATTTATTGGTAGTTAAAGCCAAAAAATAATTAATTGGATTTACATGGCAAAATTGAATGAAAATATATCTCTGTTGCAGGTAAAAATAGAAAACACTAAAAGATACTTAGAAATATTTATTTCAATAATCTGTTTCCAGCTTCTACATATTAATTCATTTAAAAAATATATATAAATTTTATGTTAAAAGCTAAATTAATATTTTAACTTAATGTTTCAAATTTAATCATTTATCCGTGTCTATTATATCCATATGAAATTGAATTTTATGAGTCATTATCAACATTGAATGAAAATATATCTCTGTTGCAGGTAAAAATAGAAAACACTAAAAGATACTTAAAAATATTTATTTCAATAATCTGTTTCCAGCTTCTACATATTAATTAATTAAAAAACTATAAATTTTATGTTAAAAGCTAAATTAATATTTTAACTTAATGTTTCAAATTTAATCATTTATCCGTGTCTATTATATCCATATGAAATTGAATTTTATGAGTCACTGTCATTATATGATATGAGATTTTGTGTTATAATATCTATCTCTTAGACTTCATCTAAATACATATATAATGGGATTATAAGTATTGTTGTATGACTCTCAAATTTCAACTCAAGCATTATATATATATCTTCAAATAACAAATCGAGATTAAAATAGTGACCTCTTCAGTTGATTTCCTCTGTAGTAGAAGCTTGTAATTTGGTTACCATGAAGGATTTGATGAAAACCTTGTTTTCTGTGATGATAATTGTATTACTGTACTATATGGGATACGGAGAAGGCCGGAGGATTCTTAGCATGAAAGATTTTATAGCTAGCGACCACACGAACGTTGATTATTCTCAAGTAATCGTTTTCTTAATTATAAAGCTGGTGTATACAATATGCAAAGTCAGATATATTGTCGAAACAATTAGTCAATGTTATTAAACTAATATACTATCATTCTTGTGAAGGCGATGCAAAAAGCATGGAAAGAGTTATGCAAAGACCAAGCTTCGTCTAACGGGTCAGCGTTGGTGATAGAGAAGAAGGAAACATACACTTTACAACCACAACTTTTTGAAGGTCCATGTGTATCTTCCGACGTTCATATTCAGGTACTTTAATTATGGTCGTTAATCGTTATAATTCAACTTTCTTCCGCAGATGCTATCGAATTATTCATTCATAAGATAATGATCCACGCACGTACATGCATGCATGTATAATTGCTTCTTTTTTCTTCTTTTTTTGCTTAGTTTTTATTTATTTTTTTTAATTTTTTTGCTTAGTTTTTTTTTTATTTTTTTTCATTTCAACAAGATTGATGGGAAAATCAAAGCGCCAGCGAAGCCGAGAGATTGGGAAAACTCAGAAAGACAGTGTTGGTTATGTTTCAAGGATATAGTGGGTCTCGTCCTCAACGGCTCCGGTGTCCTTCTTCCCCATGGCGAAGCATGGTGGCCATCTGTTCGTCACTCTAAACGACCCACTGTAGGAGTCATCATTCCTATTAACTTAAGTATATATGATTTTTCTATATCGATAACTTATGATACGTTTTATATCTACAGACGATTAGTTTTGACACCTGCCATGGCATTGTATATAATGGACTGACTCAAATGAATAGTCCAAAGAATCACATATCAGTCGTTGGGTGCAAAAATGTAACTTTATCAAATCTTAATATAAGCGCACCCCATGACAGTCCAAACACCGATGGCATCAATATTTGTGAGTCACACAATATCCATGTCTTAGACTCCTCTATCCAAACTGGTAATTATTATTCTGATTCCCTCAGTTTGAATTTTTGTTATTGTGTTTTTACATTGATATAATTTTAAAAATTAAATATATGCTAATTAAATTCATTGTGTGATGTGTTTCTTACATGTTAGGTGATGACTGTGTTGCAATTACTGGTGGGAAAGGTGGTTCTTCCGATATCAACATTACTCGTGTGGCATGTGGTCCGGGTCACGGTATCAGGTTTGTAAGTTATAAAAAAGCACGTTTGAAATTAATCAATGTATATATCGAACTAAATTATTCTACTTTTTGTTGAATAAGATTATTTTGACTTGCTATTAAAAATTAAATTTGTTTATTGTGTCTTAAACCTTTTAAAAATGCAGTATTGGGAGTTTGGGGAAAGATGAGACAGACGACATAGTCGAAAACGTGAACGTAAAAAGCTGCAGCTTTAGTGGAACTCAAAACGGGGCAAGAATCAAGACTTGGCATGTACGTTTTTTACTTTTTCCATTGTTTTGTGTTGCTAGCAAAATATTACAGCTTAACAAAAAAAAAAAAAAAAAAAAAAAAAAAAAAAAAAAGCAAAATATTTTACTTCCTTACGAAAAAAAAAACATATACGGATCTTACGTCCATAATTTTATAGGGAGGACAAGGGTCAGCCAGAAATATTTTGTATGAACATATCACATTGGTGAATGCTAGTTTCCCCATCATCATCGATCAAAATTACACTGACAGTCGTTTAAAGGTAAATTCAAAACTTACAAATTTTAACTCTAGTCTTTTAACTCTTTATCAGGTGACTAACAAAACATATATACATCATATCAAATTAGATCTTCCTACCAAAAAAAAGAAATCATATCAAATTAGATGTTATAAACCTACAAAAAAACTAACAAATCATTTGCAACTCGGCCTGTAAATCAGATCTTAAATGGATGAAAAATTAGCTTTGATGAATTGTTTAAATGGACTAACCAAGATATATATATATTATTACCATATTGGATCGTAATGACCAAAATTCACATTCTTTATTTTAAAGGTTTATTGCTTATTGAATGCAAACAAATTAAATGATATATTTCGAATCTTGTAGGGAAATGCAGTGAGAGTGGACAACGTAAAATTTAGACACTTTAAAGGGACCAGCGCAAGTAAAATTGCGATAAAGCTAAACTGCGAAAATTGTCATAACATCGTGATGGAACACATCAACATCACATCTTCATCCCCGGATACGAAACTCAAGGCATACTGTAGATTCGCCGATGTGCGTACTTCATTTGTCAACATCGATGTCAAATGTAATGCATGCAAATATCATCAGCCTCCAGCATTGTCTCCTGAACAGCCTCCGGCATTGTCTCCGGATCAGCCTCCGGCATTGTCTCCTGATCAGCCTCCGGCATTGTCTCGTCTTCCCTAATCTATTCTGCACGGACTTGTTTATGGAGTATATAAGAACTAAGTATACCAACCATTGGAGGGTGCTAATCAATTTTTTTATATTAAATGTTCAAAAATGGTGCTTATGTGTTGCTTATAATCACAATAAGCTATGGTGCTTACAACATTTTTTTTTCTTTTATTATATTCATTACATACAATAATAAACAACATGTTAAACATATGTTAAGCATCTCCACCGGAGGTGCTCTAACAGTAATAGTTTGTATTTAAGTCACAAGATATTAAAATATTAAATCATAAAACTTTTTTTTTTCTCTCTCTGCCTTGCTCGAGCATCGAACATGTCAAGCGTTGCATCTTTAGTACCGTCGCTGACCACACGAGCTACAAGAGCAAGGCTTAAATTATAAAACTTTATATATTTATATTTGAGTTGAATGGGTTGAAATTTCAAGATGGACAAATTTGAGCTGAATATCATTCAACTTATTCATCTCTAAAAATGTAGTTGAATGAGTTGAACACTTTTTGCTTGTAATTTGTACAATTATTCAGTTTTTAAAGTTGAATGAGCTGAATCTTTTTTTCAGCTCTTTCATCTCAAATTTGAATGAACATTCAACTCTTTCAACTTGGTATTTTGTGTCAACCATTTGCAGCCTTAATTTTTTCTTTGACTGGAATTTGACTAGCGCATGGATCTTATGATATTGTGATAACAAATAGAGAAATTTAATTGTGTTTGAATGTTGAAGGCATATAATATATTATTAAGTTGAATTAATGCTAAACGAGGAAAGAAATATTTAAGAGTTGAATATTGTAAAATTTTGGCAAGATATAAATCAAAACTCATAAGTATGTTTGGACTCTCTCAACACAACATCTATACAACTTAATCACATCACACAATCTTACGTTTCTCTTAGAACAGCTAGATTTATAATTTTATGATTGTTGAGATTAAAATGGTGAGAGAACATAATCTCTCTCTAGTTGTGCTCGTTCTTTGTATCGTTGATTCAACTTTTGTTTTTGCTATAGGGTATTGAAATTTAATGGCTGCAAAATCATCGTTTCAACTTTTCAATGATAACCATCTTAACTATTACTAGGGATTGGAACTACTCTTCTCGGTGATTCTAGTTGCATCGTACCATTTGCAATGCGGAGATGGTCGTCGGCTGAGTTTAAGCATTAAGGATTTTATATCTGATGCTAACAATACAGCCGATCATTCTCAGGTAATGGCTTGAAGTATTATCTATCCCAATTATATATGTTTTCAAAATAAAATAATCTTCATTAAAGAATATAATGAGTTTCTCCTAACAGGCGTTTCAAGATGCATGGAAAGCAATATGTGAAGCGAATGGGAAAGATCAGGCAACATCTCTTGTAATACATGCCTACGAAAAATATTTCATTCAACCACAAACTTTTCGAGGTCCTTGTGTATCTCGTAATCTTCATATTCAGGTATTTGCCAAAAAAAAAAAGAAAAACAACGTTTACGTTTGTGTAACAATATGCAAATGATTATATTTGTTTTTGCAAGATTGATGGAAAACTTGAAGCTCCAAAGATGGTAAAGGAGTGGAAGAAAATTAACAAGGGAAATAGATGTTGGTTATGTTTCGACAACGTGACAGGTCTCGTCCTCAATGGATCTGGTGTCCTCCATCCCCATGGTGAAGCTTGGTGGTCCTCTGTAGAGCACTCAAACCGACCAAGGGTATGCATTTTCCCTGTTTGAGAGAGTTGAAATATATAAATAATGGCCTAGTTAATACCAAACAAAATCATTTTATAATTTACAATTTTGATTTTGGTTTTGCAGACAGTTGGATTTAATGGAAGCAGTAACATTATATATAATGGACTAACTCAAATGAACAGTCCAAAAAACCACATTTCAATATGGAATTGCACCAACGCAACTCTATCAAACCTTCAGCTAATCGCACCCAAAGATAGTCCAAACACTGATGGCATCGACATCGCTCTTTCAAACAATATTAAGATTTTTAACTCAAATATCCAAACTGGTATTTTATGTTTTATTTTATGTTAATACTAAATCAATACACGAGGATAATTGCTCAATTTCTTTTTGTGGTATGATTTTGTACCTGTTAGGTGATGATTGTGTTGCCATTAATGGTGGTTCGTATGATATCGACATAACTCATGTGGCCTGTGGTCCTGGTCATGGCATCAGGTTTGCACATCATATACATCTTCACGGATTCATTTTACGCGATTATCCTAAAGTCAATTTTCTCAGGAAAATATCTAATGGCTATGAAATGATTCTAACAATAGACAGTAGAGATATCTAATTAAATAGTTTCGGCTGGTTTTTGATAGGACTGTACATTTGTATTAAATTGTGTATTTCTTCTTTTAAAAAAACTGCATGCAGTGTTGGAAGTTTGGGGAAAGGTGGGTTAAATGAGACGGTCGAGAACGTGAAAGTAAGACATTGCAGCTTCAATGGAACTCAGAACGGGGCAAGAATCAAGACTTGGGCCGTAAGACTTATATTATATATTTACATATATATATATGTATATGTGTCCATTATTTATACATAATTTCGATATATTTATCTTATTGCATGCATGCATTCGTAGGGAGGAAATGGGTACGCCAAGAATATTTTATACGAAAACATAACATTAATTAATGTCAACTTCCCTATCATCATCGATCAACATTACTGTAACGGTGGTCGCAATTGTACGGAAGAGGTAATTTCTTTATGTAATCGTGTTTTATAAAATACTTGTTCCTATTAATACACCACAATGGTTTTAAAAAAATGATATATAAATTATATATGCGGATTATGTATATACTAGCAGTTGACTCGCGCTGCGCGCATGAGGTTTATAATTTTTTGTTAATTTTTTATTTATATTGTGATAATTTATTTATTTTTTAATTGACTTTCAGAGACATATTATAGTTATTTTCTCTTGAATTATTATCTTTCAATATTTAAATTTGGATTAAAAGCATTTTCTTTTTGATAATGTTATAAACTAATATTCCACTTTCAATTTTATTTTTCTCCTTTAAAATTTTATATATACAATTACATAAATGTTGTTTTTATTCTACCATAAATTTAAAATTTACTTGCATTTTTAAACTCAGTAACACATTTAAAATTTGAAACTATGATCAATTTAAAATGAAAGTTGAATTATATTATTACCACTAACTAATAAAAAATGGAAGTATTTCTTATTTAACATTTCATTTATTTACATAATTTATTTTTATTTATATAAATTTTCTATTAATTAAATAAGTAGCATAAATATGCACTAAATGAATGTTTTAAATTTATTTTAATAAAAAAAAAATGTGGCTTAAGTGGATGCTTAGGTGTCATCATGAGAAGAGAGAAAAAGCTAACTTTATATATATAGATATACATAAGTGTGAAATATAAATCTGTTAAACTTTAACTTTAACTATATATATGTAATTAATACCTACATGTTTTGAATCCTGGAGGCGACTGCTGTGAAAGTGAGCAATGTGACATTTAAAAACTTCCAAGGGACATGTGGAAATAAGATTGCCATAAAACTAGATTGTGACAAAGCAGTGGGTTGTCATGATATCAAGATGGAAAACATCAACATCACTTCTTCATCTACGAACAAAACCCTTACGGCGTATTGTCAATTTGCTGATGTAGTTAGTCAAATTGTTTCCGTTAAAATCAAGTGTACTTCCGATGAAGAACCTCTTGCACCAGCTTCAGCACCATATGCTAAACCTCTACCACCGACTCAACCTCCATCATTGTCTCCTCTTCCATACTCTATTAACTTTTTTAAAGCTTTCTTGTGAAGTTTCTTTCGCATTTACCATAGCAAAGCATACGAAGAGATAGTTACTATAGAATAACGAAGAAATCTGTAACACAGAGAATTATTTCAAATAATTTTTTTTTATATTTACCTCTATTTCAATACAATTATACAGCTGGTATTTAATTTTTCCTCCATTTTTTCCCCATTGTTTGCTTATACGTTTTGTATTCATTGTGTTTCACATATGATGTTTTGCTTCCCTTTTTGTTTGGTGTTTACGTTTATAATTTGCAAACGTAGCTTCTAGATTTTTTCCCCGAAGGTATATATACATTGATGTTACGGAATACTTTTATTATCTCCATATTTATTTCCCCCCCAAGTAAATAAATTACTATATATTATAAAAATTATTCAGAAGTTTGAAAATCTTGGTGGATAGTTTTTTAAGGTAGTGTCCAAATATAGTAGATATATCCAATTAATTAATGAGTTGAATGCATACTAGCCAAGTGTACAGTGTAACTTATTACTATAAAGGCATAAACATTATAGTAACATTTTCACTTTTATTCAAACATTTAAAATTCTTAAACCAAAACAGAGTCAATTTATATATATATAATTAATATATGAAATTTGCAAGTGGTTAAAGTATATTTTTAATACTAAGAGATCTCAACTCTTGGTATACATTCAACTTACAATTAACACACATTCAGATTCACAATCTTGGTATTATATTTACTAGAAAAGAAAAAAATTACCTAGCTAGCTAGATTCTTATTATTTAGTGCTAAAATGGTGAGACAACAAGATTCCCCTTTTAGTTTATCGTGTTTTATCATGGCTTCAGTACTTTTGTTGAAGCTCGCATATAGTACTAACTATTTTGATCGTTACCTGCAGGGCTTTGAGATACTCCTTTCAGTGCTTCTAATCGCATCGTACCATTTGCAACATGGAGATAGTCGGGAGATTCTATCCATTAAAGATTTTCTATCTGATTCTGAGACTACAAATATCGATCATTCTCGGGTAACAATTTTTTATACAAATTCATTTATTTTGATCTTGATTATTAATGAATATATAAAACATTAAAAAAATGAAATTGATAATATAATTCAAAATAGGCATTTCAAGATGCGTGGAGAGCGCTATGTAGAGGCAGAGGGAGAGGTCGTGGGGCAGCCTCTTTAGTAATACATGCCAAGGAAACATATACCTTACTTCCACAGTTTTTTGAAGGTCCTTGCGTTTCTCGTTATATTCATATTCAGGTATTTAATTTGACCTACCTATAGCTCCTCTTTGCTTATTTAATTAATTTATACAAATCTCATTTATATTTTTGCCAACATACATAATTAAACATGACTCAGTTATACACACGTAATATTATCGATCTCTTCTTCTTTTGTTTTCTCATGGACAAGATTGATGGAACAATTGAAGCGCCGAGATTGGTAAAAGACTGGGGAGTCCAAAGAAATGGGTGTTGGTTATGTTTCGAAAGGGTGTCAGGTCTCGTTCTCAACGGATCTGGTGTCCTCAATGCCCATGGAGAATCCTGGTGGTCTTCTGTCGAATTATACTCCCGACCAGAGGTATGCTGGATCTAAATATTATTCAACGTGTTGATTTGAAGATATCCATAATTTATTATATAACATTTAATTAATTTCCTTTTTGAGGATTTTAAGAGTATACATATCTATAATGTATGTATGCGTGCGGTTTATCTTTTGTTTGTGCAGGCAGTGAGATTTTCTGGGTGCCAAAACATTTTTTACAATGGATTAACTCAAATCAATAGTCCAAAGAATCACATATCGATTAGCAATTGCGCCAACTCGACTCTATCAAATCTTCATTTGATCGCACCTTCAGGCAGTCCAAATACTGATGGCATTGATATCTCCCTTTCATACAATATCCAAATTCTCAGTTCATCAATCAAAACCGGTACGTATTAATTCCCATATATTTTCTTAGAATTAATACGCCATACAAAGATTGGCTACGCAAAAGATTACGATTTTTTTTTGTGTGTGTGTGTGTGGTTTTGTATCTATTAGGTGATGATTGTATTGGAATCGGAGGTAATTCGTACAATATCAACATAACTTATGTGACATGTGGTCCGGGTCATGGCATAAGGTTCGCACCTGTAAATTTTTATATATAATTTTTACTTCAAAAAATTGTGTGTGTTTGCATGCATGGCTAAAGTAGTTGTGTGTTTTGTCTTTGAAAAAAAACAGTATTGGAAGTCTGGGGAAAGGAGGGGCAACTGAGAATGTAGAGAATGTGAATGTAAGACACTGCACCTTCACTAAAACTCAAAACGGCGCACGAATCAAGACTTGGCCTGTAAGAATTTACATAACTTTACTAGTTCTTTTTGGAAGAATTAACATTATAATATACGTAATATATATACCATATATCATATATTGGATGCTAAACATACTTGCATCAGGGAGGACGAGGATTGGTCAAAAATATCTTGTTCGAAGATATTACTCTGATAAATGTCAGATCCCCAATCATCATCGATCAACATTATTGTAACGGTGGTCAGTGCAAACAACCTGGAGTGGTAATAATACTTAGGGATACTTATAACTTTACAATGGTATTTTAATAAATATATATGAATATGAATGTAACTAAATTCTCAAAATATGGTCCAACCTTAGTATTTTGATTTACATGTAAAATTTCAGGGGTTTTCTTTTCAATATTTTTGAGTAATTGAAATTCAAATACCAATTAAGTCGTGAAGTATATAATATCTGACGTACCTAACATGAATTACGTACACGTGTTGTGAAATCTTTTCAGGGAACTGCTGTGAAAGTGAACGGCGTGACATATAAATACTTTAAAGGGACAAGTCTTCCCGATGTTGCTGCAATAAAATTAGATTGTGACCGAAACACAGGATGTGATAACATCTACATGGAACACATCAACATCGCTTCCTCATGGCGGAGAACGCCTCTCGCCTCGTACTGTAGATTTGCGCATCTAATTAGTCGCTTTGTCTCCATTCGCATCAACTGTGCTAACTCTTACTACGTCAATCCTCAAGATCCATCACTCGCACCGTTTGCCATATCCCCGATGCCTTATGCTGAACCTCCAGCACTGCCTGCTCAATCTCCAGCACCCATTGATCATGAAATCCAAAATTTTTATTAACTCATAAAATCTTGTTAGAATTCTATATATAAACTCGAACTCAGATCATATTGAATTATTGATCATGAGCTAATTGAGCTAGATACCAAATAAATATAATAATAATAATAGTATTTTAAAAATATTATAATGAATCTAATAACATAATTTATAAGTTAAATAATGAAAATAAATCCAATACAACTAACCTCAACTATCACTAAAATAAAACTTGAATTAAAATTAACTAAAAATAATGGAATGATTCAAATTTATAGTAGAGACAAGGAGATTCTTGATGCATTAGTTAAAATTATACTTTAGTGAGAAGGACCCAGCAGGGGTATTCTTGCTCCTAGCCTTATTGGAGTTGTTCGATATGCAGCTACAGCATTACTTTGCATATGATTCCTCAAGAAAAGCATACAGAATACTAAGAAATATTTATATACTTAAAACAATTATTAGTTACCCCTACAAAATAAGAAAAACTTTAGTTCAAAAAAAGAAAAGAAAAAGAAGAAAGACCGAATTATCTGGAAAGAAAAAACCTAAGCGGAGTCTCCGTCCCACCCACTGACTCATCTGATACACCTACCCACCCAAATACAGCAAAAAAAAAAAAAAAAAAAAGAGTAGCGGACTGGTTTAAACCCTAAAATCTCAGCGAAAGAGACGACCCATTGACTTAGTCTGAGAGAGAGACATAACAGATTCGAGTCTCTCTTCCTCTCTCTCACTCTCGTCACTCCCATCCTCGAAAGACATAACAGAGACATAACAGATTCTGTTTGCTGTAACGGCAAACAAAACAAGCTCTTTTATCAGAGAAAGCTTCTGTTCGGGTCTGGAATGGGGAAAACCGGAATCCAGCTGTTCGACGATTCGAGGAATGGGTTTTTCTCCGTTTCCGATTTAGGATTCGATTCGAGCCTCCCAATTGCTGGCTTATTCGCAAGCGTTAATCAAACGAATCCTTTCGCATCCCTCTCGTCTCCGGATCCTTCCAACAGAGGCAACGTCGGCTTCTCTGCCCAGCTCAATGATCTCTGTGTGCCCGGAAAAGAGGAGGAGGTCGAACAAGTTAATGGTGAGAAGAGGAACAAGAAGAAAGGTGGGCTGAAACTGAAGATCAAGATCGCTAATCCTTCGTTGCGGCGGCTGTTGAGCGGAGCCGTGGCTGGAGCGGTCTCCAGAACTGTCGTTGCGCCGTTGGAGACTATCAGGACGCATCTGATGGTGGGAAGTGGCGGAAACTCAAGCACTGAAGTGTTCGGTGATATCATGAAGCATGAAGGTTGGACTGGTCTCTTCAGAGGCAATTTGGTCAATGTCATTCGTGTCGCACCTGCTCGAGCCGTCGAGGTACCAAATTCATAATCAAAACCAATGTGTCTCTTTAATTCGGAATTGAAATGCAGTTTCTGACTTTTCATACTAATAATATCTGGTTGACTTTTATCTATAAGAAGTCTTGTGTTGGCTGAATCTGTCTTATGCCACAAAATGATGAGACTTTGGTAGTCCTTTTGACAAGAAATACTGAATCTTCACTATTTTCTGCAATTCTTTGTATGTGCAGCTTTTTGTATTCGAGACAGTAAACAAGAAATTGTCACCCGAAAATGGCGAGGAATCAAAAATCCCAATTCCAGCTTCATTACTCGCCGGTGCTTGTGCTGGAGTTAGCCAAACTCTCTTGACATACCCTCTCGAACTAGTCAAGACTCGCCTTACTATACAGGTTTGCTCCTCTCTGAATATGAACTAATTACACTAAACCTTGTTATGTGAGAGATAATTAGGTACGTGGCTGGAAGATCATAGAGCATGTAAAGTTCGTTTTGACAAGAATTCACTCAACTGGTTCATTCAAATAGCAGTCTATACAATTATTGCTCAGTAATGGGTCTTTAAAACTTATTGCAGAGAGGTGTTTACAAGGGGATTCTTGATGCATTTGTTAAAATTATACGTGAAGAAGGACCCACAGAGCTCTACAGAGGTCTTGCTCCTAGCCTTATTGGAGTTGTTCCATATGCAGCTACAAATTACTTTGCATATGATTCCTTAAGAAAAGCATACCGGAGCTTTTCAAAGCAGGAGAAGATTGGAAACATTGAGACTCTTTTGATAGGTTCTTTAGCGGGTGCACTATCGAGCACCGCGACTTTTCCTCTTGAAGTAGCACGGAAGCATATGCAGGTGGGAGCAGTTAGTGGGAGAGTTGTGTACAAGAACATGTTGCACGCTCTGGTGACCATACTCGAGCATGAAGGTATTCTCGGTTGGTACAAAGGGCTCGGACCAAGTTGCTTGAAGTTGGTTCCTGCTGCTGGAATCTCTTTTATGTGTTATGAAGCTTGCAAGAAGATACTTGTCGAGCACAACCAAGAAGCCTGATTTGGGAAATGATATGGACTCTCATGGCGAACTTTAGGGGTGGATCAGAGAAACACATTGTGGATACTAATTGGGTTCGTAGTTCTAAATTTATACCACTTGATTTCAAAAATTAATTTTGAGGGGATTATAAAGATGCATTCTTTGTTTTCGTTGCAATTTACTTTTGGATTCTTTGATTGATCAGATTCTGATTCAAATAAGCTAACAATAGTTTACATAAAAACTTGATTATCCTTTAGACCAACAGAGCCACCAACAACTTCCTCTAGTTCATACGAAGCAACTATCAGTTCATCTGGCAGATCTCAGGTACAATCTCAATGTAGTAAGTTAGTAACGTACATAACTCTTGAAAAGAAACTTTTGTATTAAAGTGAAAAGCTTAGAGCATATAAACCCCAAATTTACGACAACAACAAAACTCCAACATTACAGAAGTGCAAGTCTATCAAGCTTTAAATAAAATAAATATAACAAAAAATAACGAATCCCTTTTGTAGACTATGTATCATTTGGTCTTCCACATCTATTTCCCCACTGAGAAAGTTATAAAATCATCACAACAGTGTACGAACAATTTCGCAACTCTCTGGCTATTCAGATAAAGCTAAACTTAAGACATGGAATCACCATAACTGCCCGGTTCACTGTGTTTTGGGGTTTGGAATGTCCCATTGCGAGTTTTCAATATATGCACACACAAGTATATAAATACGGGTCTAAAAGACACCTCCTTTGCCATTGAAGTTGTTGGCATTGGGATTGGCATCGACAAAGGGATTGATCCTGACCCAAAGCAACGAGAAAATGGAGGCAAGAAGAACAGACCAGACAATGACGATGGTTGGTGTTCGGTTCTGTCTTCCCAACAGACCTTTCAAGAAAGGGTAGAGATGGGCAATAACCCATAAGGCAAAAAAGAGCTTCCCGAAGAGCGGACCCCATGATTGGTACCCGCTGTTTACAGCATAAGAGACACCAGCCACAATGCCTATGAGGTTCACAAGTAGGACGGTGGTTGGTGGAATGAGAAGAGCTGTCCATTTGAAGATGTAGAGCTCTGCGAAGTCCCCATCTTCGTCTGAGGCTTTGGATGTGACAGTGAAGTTGGTGTCAATACCAGCAAGAACCTTAAGTAGACCTTGGAAGACAGCAAAAAGATGGGCGGATGTGCCACCAATGACCCAAAACTGCTCATTCCTCCACCAATCCTCAATGCTCACACCGCTCCATCTCAGCTCCAGGATTCCAGTCACAGCAATTGAGATGAAGAGTAGAATAAACCAAATACTCGCGTAGTTGCTTATCTGCAACAATGGTGTTAGGACTTTAAGACACAAGATGATGGAGATTAAAAAAAATGCATTCACAAAATGGGATTCCAATACTAATTAGCAGTGTGGTCAGTTTTACGAACCTCGGGTATGATAAATCTGTCGGTGATGAGGCAAAAAGCAGGAAGGATACAATACGCGATAAGAGGGATAGATGTAATAGGGTAGACGATGGTGTTGATGTAAGCAATTCTCTCCAAAAGTCTCAACCTTCCATGGTAGCCATACCAGATAGGACAATGTCTGCTAAGAAGAATCTCAATAGATCCCAATGCCCATCGAAGAACTTGGTTCAAACGATCAGAAAGATTGATTGGCGCAGATCCCTTGAAAGCAGGGCGTGGAGGATTGCAATAGACTGATATCCAACCACGGGCATGCATCTTGAACCCAGTAAGAATATCTTCCGTCACGGAACCGTAGATCCAACCAATCTAACAAAAGTGCCAAATAAGATGTCATCACACATGTAAGAAAGAGAACAAAAGAAGTCTGTAGCTGCATTTGAAAACTGACCTCTTTTCCCCATTCAGTCTTGTCCTCGTAACCACAGCTTATAACATGTATAGCCTCCTTCAAAAGAGTAGCAGGATTGGTTGTTGGTGGAATGCCACCTTGTTCCATGAAGGTTGCCGCAATAAATACCGGCGACTGACCAAAACGCTTCTCTACACTCTTCTGGGACATTAGAATAGACCTCTCATCATCATAGCCTGCATAAACAAGGATTGTAAGATTTCACCATCACATGAAGAAGTGATGTTATTACACTATAAACTCAATCAAACCTTCAAAACCCTCATCGATGTCTTCCATATTGAAAAGTGGAGCATTGGAGTCACTTCTGTTGATGCCTCTCTTTTTTTCATAGGTATACTTCTTGTTATTCTTTCCTTTCTTCCTTGAGCCGCAACAGCTCTTCACAATTATATTTGGTTCTAGATCTTCCTCCGTCAAAACAGGATCATACCCATATAGAGCCTGTCTATTGAAACAAGTACCAGTACCCACATATACTGGACCTTGGATACCATCCAACCCCTTCATGTTAATCTGCCCAATATAACAAATATCCAAGTCAGACCATAGCAGAAACGAGTAAATCCTACAAAAATATGAACAAAAGAGAAACAAAAGACAGGAATGGGGGAGTGAAACTCACATCAAAGAAGACAATATTCCTGTTGGCATATCGATCGTGCAAGTCAATACCGTCAAAACGTTGTGGGAACTGGACATAGCAGCACTTCTTTCCAATAGCAGGGTCCATCATGAAACACATGGCTTCTTTAATAGCCTTGCTGTTGTTGAAGTAATGATCACAATCCACATTTAAAAGATATGCGCCATTGGTAAGAACAGCAGAAACACGAATCTGTCAATGTAAAGAGATGCGAAATTAGAGACACATTTACTATAAAAATATAATACGAAGCAACGGCTATACAACAACAAAAATTTCCTAGGCAGCGAACAAGAGAATAAAATCAAGGACACACTAAGATTCTGAAAGTTGACAAACCAAAGCATTCATAGCTCCAGCCTTTTTGTGATGTTGAAATCCAGGCCGCTTTTCACGAGAAACATAGATGAGTCTTGGCAGCTCATTTCCATCGGTATCCAGACCCCCACTATGGCCTAAGAACACCTGAAATTGAAAAGAACCAATATAAAGTTGTTGCCTTTTCGTTAATCCCTCTATAATAATCAAGGGATTGCCTCACTGTACCTGAATCATTCCAGGATGATCTCTAGTGTTGTTACCAGGCCACGGGGTACCATCCTGCATTGTCCAGCCTTCTTCAGGAATTTTCTGTGCTTTTGCAACAAGGGCATTTATCCTCACCTTAAACTCTTCATACTCTCTCTGTCAATACAAGCCAAGGAAAAAGTCAGTCAGTCTCTAGTTTGTCGAATGGATGAGAAGCAGGTGGATCTTTCAACAGACCTTCATAGCTCGTCTCTCTTTAACAAAAGAAGGTTGGATCTTGTCCTTCAAGTAATCTATCTTCTGGGCAAAATAGAATTCAGGGGCCCTAGGTTCAATGTTAAATTTCTTGCAAAATGGTACCCATTTCTTTGCGAACTCAGCAGTTTCAGAAAGAGATTCGAAGGTAAGCATAGCAGAACCATCATCTGAAACATAACAAGCTACTTTATCTACCGGGTAGTCCACAGCAAGAATCGAGAGAACTGTGTTTGCTGTAACCAGGGGAGGCTCTTTCAATGGGTCCACTGTACTAACAAACACATCAACAGGAACAAGCTGTGATGGTTCACCGTCTCGATCATATCTACAGTTAGAAAACCAAAATCATCATCAAATAAAATCAGCATACTAGCTAAGCTCTATTCTCAGTAGGCACTTCATTTGACATGCTTTTATCATAATCTAGTCCGAAACTTCACATTTTAAATATATATATACTGTATGTAAATAATCAATATTCAAATGTAAAATATGCACCATTTTCTAAAATGAAATTGAATTTACAGGGGAAAAGTCAACATACACGGAAAAACAAAAAAAGATAAAGAGTAGGGAATTCATAGACTTAAAAACTAACCTTATAGTGAGACGGTCAAGATATGTCTCCCTGTTAATGGGGTACCATTTGGGAAACTGATCAAGAAGCCAAGAAAATGCAAACCAGATCTCACAGATAACCGAGGTCAACCACAGAGGATATGCATTTTTCACAGGGTGAGTTGTACGGTATTGCAAGAAGAAACACAAGATGATTAGTCGGAGAATAATCACAACCCGATAAGGGGTTAGGCGAGAAGGAGGGATAGGCACCACACGACTCATAGGAAGCCGTGTATCATCAGCCCTGTAAGTACGAGAACCATAAGATTAAGAATATAGCAAAGCAGATGCTTAATTATTTCTATCAATACAAAATCATAAACTAAGACTAGTTATTAGCATCGCAACAAGAGATTTTTGAGTTGGACAGCAAAGTTTGTGGTCTAGTACTTCAACTTACATTTGGAGTTCTTCGCCATTGGAACCAGTCCCTTCAATTTCTCCTCCTTTCCCTTCATGGTATTTACCAGTCATCTGTAACATACTCTTCTCCTGCTTCAGCTTCCAGCCTTCAACTCTTTCTTTCCAGTCAACATTTCCAAGCCCATACGAGTTCAAGTCTTTAGACGGGTCCACAATTCTTACAGGGACTGCAATTTGTAACGGATTCTATCAGTTATGGTACACAAAAAATATACTGTTGTAAAAATGAATAGGAATCATATCTAATGAAGGCCAAGTGCACAAAGAAAAAAATATATGAATACCTGGTTGCCGTGGGTCAATATATGGAGATGAAATAGCATTCCTGTCAGAAGGACCCAGAGGACCAGAAGTAGTTCGCACGGATTGTGTATCAGGCGTGCGAATCTCCCCAGAAACCTGTGTATAGAAAAAGGTCAAGTCTCTATTTGAAAACAGACTCAATTAACAATATCAGAAACTTTTCTGTTCACATCTAACATTATTGTGAAAAGTAAAAAAGTTCGATCTAGAAATTTTTGTAATATAAATCACTCTAGAGTCTAAAGCAAAAATGTAGGTTCCTACCGTATGGCCATGGGTGAGAAGAGGAATTGGTTGAGATTCATGTCTAGAGGACGAAGAGAACTCTTCGCCATGGCGTTGGTGTCTGGCCTTGTTAGCTCCCTGGGCATAACTGAACTCATTCTCGATATCATCAACGTCATCCTCATCTTCATCTCCTTCAACACGAGTACTCCCTGCAACATTTGAAAAGTTGGTTCAGGAAATCAGCAATGAAACAAAACAAAAAAAATCCATGCATAGCAATAGCCAAATAGAAGGAAAACTGACCCCTGTGTCGTCTGTATCTAGTCTTGCATTGCGGGCAGCACTGAGTTCCATCCTTCCTCTCGTACTCATAGCAAGGCCGGCACACAGGGAAGGCACATTCATTACAAGCGACAAATACATCCCCAGTTTCAGCGAGTCCAACATCATCACCACAGATCTGACATATCTGGCCATTCATATTCTTCAAAGGTTTGGTCTGCATATTGGCCAGCATTGCATCATTGTTAGTCATGACGAATTGTAAACTACCAAAACAGATCAGCATGAATCTAAATCAAAACAATTAACAAGAACCATCTCCAAATCAATGCAGATCTGAACGAAGAGCAATCACAGTCATTGCAGTATAATAGCCTATACGGGAACTAACGAGATCCAGTTGAGCTAAATCTCAAAAAGTGCGTAAAGTTGAAGACTTTGAGAGTCAGAGATTTAGCTAATCTCAGCTGAAAAACCAAATTCTTAGATCAAGAATCTAAACTGAATCCACCGACACTTTATATACGAGATTTTAAAAAAGGAAAAAAAACAGAAGCGGAATTAATTGATGATAGATCACACAACAATTGAAGTATCGAAGCAGAAAAGTTTCCATTTTCAGACAGTGGATCTACCAACACTAACTAACTCAACACTCAAAGGAAGCGAAATCTAAGTAGAAAAAAAATAAAAAATGGGATCCAAAAGAGACAAGATTTAGAAAAACAGAGAAATCGTAAGAAATATCAAATGAAGAGAAAGCAAAAGGATGAACGAACCCCTCCGTCAGATTCATGTCGGATCCGAACGAGCTCGTTTCTACGGTAGGATCCAGCAACCAAGCCGGCACTGGCCTCCATGGCAGCCACCGACACACAGAGAGAAAGAGAGAGGATTTGCAAAATTCAGCTGGAAAACTCGGTCGCCGATTCAATACGGCATCTCGAAAAAAACCCAATCTACTAAAGAGAGATGTTATAACACTCTTGTGTCACTCTCTCTCTCTCTCTCTCCCTATCTCTTTGATCTCAAGCTTCTTCTACAATCTGATTTGCCTATTTTATCGCAGAAGAGTGTGTGTTTTCCTTTTTTTTTTATCTTAATATATTAATGACAAGTAGAAGATGACGGTAGCCTCTTCCTCTCCCACCGTTTAGCTCGGCTCGGCTTGGCTTGACTCGATTCATGTTCTCTCTTCTCCATCTCTGCTTTATAAAGTGAGCCACTTGACGCGCCAGCTTCGTGAGATGACGTGGCAAAATCTCATTGCAAGAATAAGACAGGACAAATTATGATTGTTGGATTAAGTAAAAATAAAATAAAAATAGAAGAAGCCACGTTGTCGGCTCTGGTAACAGCCTGTTCTTTTTTTTATTTGCCATCACCTGTCGGTGGTCACCAATTACACTAGTGTGAGATTAGGTTCTAATTCTTTACTTAAGAAGTTACCACGGGTTTTTAATATGCAATTATGCATGTATCATCATCACTGAATTTTCAATAAGATATCATTCAACTAAATAATTTTTATGGTAATATGTCAGTGTTAGTTATTATTGAACCAAAACATACTCCGCAACGAATAATGGAAGTAAAGCATTTGTCGGCAATAGGAACAATCAAAAAAAAAAAAAATGTCGGCAAACATCAACATAGATATAACAATGTTGGAGCATCATCAAATTCAGAACCAGAAGACAATGCATATGTAACAGAATAAAACTACATACTTTCTTTTTACCATCTCTTCTTAGTATAAAATAACAAAACACTTGAGGGTCCTTATTCATTAATCATAGGCTACTAGTCGCTTTTTCCCGCCTGAGCTACCATCCGAGGATGACGAATCCGACTTCGATGGGGACCTTGCCTTGGATGGTGATCTTGACACTGATCTTACTCTCCCGGTCCCAATGGGAGATTTTGAATTTGATCTTGATCTGGATGGACTCGGGCTGCGGCTAGCAGATTGTGACCTTCTCTTTCTGTAAGGTGGTGAACGGCTACGGATAGGAGTGCGGCTGTACCGCCTCCTGCGATAACGGAGACCAGCCGATACAGACCGGCTTCTTCTTCTATACCTAATAATACTTTTGAGTTGTGTAATCAACAACTAATTTTGTTTGGAGCACCAAATTTACTTCTCTATTCATGAGACTTTTAGATGTTTAGGATACACTGAAACGAAAATGTACCAAAGAGGATTTGAGTAAGTACCTTGGAGGTGTTCTTCCTCTGACTGGGCTTCTTCTAAACCGTCTTGGCGAGAACCTTCTGTGACTTCGATATCTACAGAGAAGACGTAATAAAAAGAATGTTCAGTACGGAAGTGTGTAACAGAAAGGGGAGTTATATTGGCTGCAGACTATCCACCTGTCACGGTCACTCCTATCACTAAAGCGATAAGGAGATCGGTCAGGAGATGGACTAGTTCTGTATCTACGGGCGTATGAGAATCTCCGGCTAAATCCTCTCCCTCTCCTGATGCACCCATCAGGAGAAGCACTTCTTGACAAACTTCTTCTACGATCACCAAGAGGAGATCTAGGCCGTGCACTCCTTCTCCTCGCAGGAACTGGACTTCTGCTAATTCTTCTTCTTCCTCTAACAGGACTCCTGCTGATACCTCTCCTGGACAATCGAACAGGACTCCTGCTCACACTCTTCCTAGATAGTCGGACTGGACTCCTGCTGATACTTCTCCTGGATGAACAAACTGGACTCCTGCTCACACTCTTCCTAGATAATCGGACTGGACTCCTGCTCACTGATCTCCTAGGTGATCGAATTGGACTCCGGCTTAAGCTTCTTCTAGATAACCGAATGGGACTACGGCTCAGGCTTCTTCTAGATAACCGAATGGGACTACGGCTCAGGCTTCTTCTAGAAGCTCGAGCGGGAGTTCTGCTACGTGATCTTCTTGATGATCTTCTTAGTGGGCCCCTCCTAAGGCTCCCACGAGATGCAGATCTTACCGGGCTCTTGCTAAGGCTTCTGGAAATCCGACCTCTCACTGGACTTCTGCTGATCACCCTTTTGGGGATCCCCAGTGGACTTCTGCTTATACTCCGTGAAGGACTTCTGCTGATCCCCCTTTTCGGGATCCTCAACGGACTTCTACTGATACTCCTTGAAGGACTTCTACTAATATCTCTTCCCCTTTTTGGGATCCCCAACGGACTTCTGCTGACACTCCTTGAAGGACTTCTACTAATATCTCTTCCCCTTTTCGGGATTCCCAATGGACTTCTACTTATACTCCTTGAAGGACTTCTACTAACATCTCTTCCTCTTTTTATTCGCGCCGGACTTCTACTAACACTTTTGGTAGGGCTTTTTCTACCATGCCTGCCCTTCTCCTCACTCACTGGGCTTTCTCTTTTACTGTTTGTCAAGTTCTTCATTTGGCGGGTACCTTTGGCAGGACTTCTGCCCCCATTCCTTCTAGGACTTAAACTTGGGCTCTTACTCTGACTCCTCCGGGGACTAATACTCATGCTCCTACTCACAGTCCTCTTAGTACTCAAGCTCCGGCTCCTGCACATCAACTTTTAATAAGATTCCATATTGACTTAAAAGAAAGATAACCAATTAACTGAGGTGATAGAGAGAATAGAACCTAGACCTAGATTTGCTAGGATGGTCATCGACAATATCTGGTTGCCTATCAGAAATCTGTTCTGATGCAGCATGTGAAATTCCATTACTTGTTGGACCTCTGTTTTCTGAGGGTGCTTCACCATCATCCTTGTCAAGCAAATCTGGTCCCTTCCTTTTTTCATGGTGAAGTTCAAAATTGCCTGATTGAAAATTGCAGTCAAAAACAGAATGTTAAGAGTGTACGGAAACATTATTAAACTGCCTATAGAAATTGGCAGCAATATGAACCCGCATGATCAGCACAATGCTTAAACGAAAGGCAAATTGATACTGAAATATGTAATGATCAAATGGCACAAAAAGTATTTTATCCCATCCATTATCTTGATTTTGAACAGACCAATGAAAAAAACGATAATTGCAGAAACATAAGCCAAAAGTCTGAGTTTTAGAGATTACCTGTTCTATGAGAGAGTCTGGGCTTCTTCTTTTTTGCTCCAGTTTCAACATTGGCATCGCTAAAACTTGCTTCACTTACACTATCACTGTCTTCATCTGTAAGACTGTCTAGGGACCTGCAAAGTTGCAGAACAAAAGTTAATAACTCAGGAGCACAACCAATTAAGCAAACTATTGTTAGGATGCCTACCAAAATATAACATCCTCGAGGAACAAGACTAGTCAAATTCATAAAAATAATGGATTTTTAAAAATATAAGTTGACATGACAAGTAATCACATAGGTTTCTCCTAAGCAGCAACCAGCACTGACAGGGAAACTATGGCTATAAACAAGAGAAGTGTACAAGACTTACCTTCTTGATTTTCGTTTTGATCTCTTATCACGCATCCTCCGCTTTTTCTCATGGCGCTTATCTCTTCTTTTAGACCGCCTGTGTTTATCTTTCTTTAAACCTCTTCTTCTCTTCTTCTGCCTTTCATGGCTCGAGGAACTATGGTTGGAAGATGAAGACAAATCTGAATCTGACTCGCTATCAGATTCTGAGGAATCTGTCTCAGAATCTGAAGAGCTCTCAGATTCAGATAAAGAGTGTCTTCGCCTCTTCTTTGTTCTCTCACGTGAAGATTTCTTGTGCTTTCCCTTTTTTCGACCATCACTATCTTTCTTCTTGTCTGTATGGGCATATCATGCATTGACGTGTATTAGTTATGATTGTGAAATCATGACATATGTAGCATTAACCAATAGTAGAATAACCGTACCTCCAGAGTTTTCTCCACAACGGATTATCTTCACACTGACAGAAGGTTTACCTCCCTCATCACCCACACGTTCAATTTTTTTTAATATCTCTTTCCCTTGAATTAGCTTTCCAAAAACAACATTATTTCTGATGAAAATATATAACAGTCAGAAATAACGCAACAAAAGGAAAATTTAAAAATTTCTGAAATAAGAAAGTAACAATGAGAAGGAAACCTATCAAGCTGCTGATTTGGCCTGAAGGTTATATGAAAGTGTGATCCAAACTTGTCACGGTCAGCAACAGACATTGATAAAAGACCAGGCTCATCGTGCCTTAGTTTTGGTGACTCATCTGGTAACATAAAAAGTCGATTGTGCTACTCAGTAACATATTTCAAAAGAAAAATGTAGAAGATGAGATCTTAAGTTCTTAACAAGAGACGAGTGCTTAATCAATAAAGGAAGGCCTCCAAAATGACATATTGCTTTATAATACAATTTTAAGAAATGAGATATCACACACACAACAGACTTTCTAGCCTCTCATGTATTGCTGGGGTAATTGAAAAGAGATCACAGATAAAGAGCGCGATGGTAACAAACCTGGAAATTTTCCGGCATATATGCTTTCCCCAGCTGTACCTGGAAAGTGGATAAAATATACAAATTTTGTCAGAGGATAATGAACTTCTAATGTTCACTGCATAACCGACTGAGCACTATCTAATGAATTCGAGAACCTTCACAGGATTCTAATGAATGCAGTTCCATACACCCAATAGGTTGACACAGTTTAATGGTATATTCAGATGACTATGATACATGAATGAAATTTAGTTTTGCAATCACAGTTAATAAGCCACAAACTGTGTTCCATAGATAGAAGATCAATATAAATTAACTGATGGCTGTATTTGATATATGCTAGAAGCTAAATTGAACAGTAAGTGTGCATACCATCTCGGTTCACAAAATCACCAGCCTGAAAAAATAATCAAAAGAGGTTGTTAGACTAGTAACACCGTGAAGTCGTTTGTACATAAACTGTACTCTTTGCATGAGAAGGCCTAACATTTGACCATAAACAACTAGTAGTACAACCTTAAAACTATATCACATGAAAAGCAGGAGTGGCGATCAGACCTGTATCCTACAGCATAGAGAATAGCAACAGACTAAAAGACGAGCATCCAACCAATGTTGAAAAAGAAACCAAGAGTATAAGACTGAAACATCATATCAATAATTGAGAAATGCAGATAGAAACCTGTGCTGAGGAACCCTTCAGTATTCTATGAAAAAAGGATCCTTTGTAATGCAAAGGTTTTCCACTTCTGGGTCCAATGCCTTTCTCCCCTACACAGAATTTATAAAAAGGAAATAAGTGTCAAGGAGAAGGAAAGCCAACAGTCAAATTTATATGCTGCATGGAAGCAACAAGCTTAATAGGACAGAAAACAAACCTGTGCATAGTGCACGGAAATTCTCGGATGTTTTGGGAGCGACTTCAGGGAAAAGCTAAAGAAACAAGTTTACACTGTCAACACTTTTGTTGGATCATGGAAAATACAAGAAAGTGAACATTAACATAGCCTAACGCTATAGTACCTCAAAAACCATAGTCTCAGCTGGATCGCCATCAATGGATACATCCATAAAAACTTGAGGATTCTTCTTTTTTGCCATGTTTTGGAATTACTAAAGCTTAAGTTAAGACCTGACAAAAAAAACACACACACAAAAAAGACTCAGAATAATAAAAAGTCATGCAAAATACTGCTTAACAAACACCGCAGAAGAAAGATCATTTGGCATATAGTTTTCACCTGCGACAGAAAATTATAGCAGTGAAAAACTAAATCCCACAAAACAGGATACTTCACACTGGCCGCAAATCAGCAAATCAACTCTAAAGTCAGTGCCTAACAACTGGATAGATATAAAACTTGTAGGCTCATCAATTAATGACAATGTAGTAGCAGACATGAGATCTTCATGAGCTCAACAATGTGCACATAGATAATTCGTCCCGCAATCCGTCTAAAATTACAAGTTCTTCTTCTACAACAACTCATGCCCACAACTGCTCAAAGCTAACACAAACCTTTAACTTTTCAAGACAAAGAAACTCGTAGGCCATCGAATACACTAAAACGATCACACGTGCAAATTCTATAAAATTCATAGCACACACACATTAGAGAAACGTATGCTTCGACATCAAAATTCCAGCTAGAGACTGCAAAATCGGAGAAATATGAAGAGCAACGAAGAAGATTCAGGGCGTGAATCGCTAGGGTTTTACCTGAGAATACGCACGCAGAACCACAGGATTAAAAACTGACTGAGAGCAGGAGAAAAAACCTAGCCGATGCCTTAAAAAGAACAAACTCCAGCTTCTCCGTATTGCCCTCTTATTCTATCATTATTTACAAATATGCCCTCAAAAACTCTACTTTGTGCTGAAAGTCTCTCTCTGTTCACCACCATTGCCATAACCTCTCTTCTTCCGATATTAGTTCCCTCCTACGTAAACAAGAATTCGACTAGTTTGCTTGCTTCTCATGACCCTTCTGAGTTATCTACACTGTAATCGCTCAACATCGTTACCTTTTCACAGATCTTACTCTCCTTATAGAATTGCTCACAAACTGTTCGATGGAAGTTCCCAAAGAAACGCGACAACTTCCATTAACCATACAATCAGTGAATCGTTACGGAGAAACTCTCCGGCACAAGCCCTCGCGATCTTCAAGGAAAATCTCCAGCTGGGTTTTCGTTGTCGCAATATGGACGAAGTTACTCTTTGTCTTGCGATTAAAGCATGTCGTGGAGACTTGAAACGCGGTTGCCAAATCCACGGGTTCTCCACAACTTCTGGGTTTACTTCTTTTGTCTGTGTTCAAAACGCTTTAATGGGTATGTACCGTAAAGCCGGTAGATTTGACAATGCTTTGTGCATATTTGAGAACCTAGTTGACCCTGACGTTGTTTCTTGGAACACTATACTCTCTGGCTTTGATGACAATCAAGTTGCTCTGAATTTTGTTGTTAGGATGAAATCAACTGGAGTGGTTTTCGACGCATTCACTTATTCCACAGCTCTTAGCTTCTGTGTAGGCTCTAAAGGATTTCGTTTAGGCTTGCAGTTGCAATCTACGATGGTGAAATCCGGACTGGAGTCTGATCTTGTTGTTGGAAATTCGTTTATTACAATGTATTCGCGGTCTGGAAGTTTCAGAGGAGCTAGGAGAGTTTTTGATGAAATGCCGCTTAAAGATATGATTTCATGGAACTCTTTATTGTCAGGACTTTCTCAAGGAGGCAATTTCGGGGTTGAAGCAGTGAGTGTCTTTAGGGACATGATGCGGGAAGGTGTGGAGCTTGATCATGTGTCTTTTACTAGCGTGATTACAACTTGTTGTCACGAAACTGATCTGAAGCTGGCTAGGCAAATCCATGGTTTGTGCATAAAAAGAGGTTATGAAACACTTGTGGAAGTTGGTAATATTTTGATGTCAAGGTACTCGATGTGTGGGGTTTTAGAAGCTGTGAAATCAGTGTTTTACCAAATGACTGAGCGGAATGTTGTCTCTTGGACAACGATGATTTCCGCGAATAAAGATGATGCTGTGTCCATCTTTCATAAGATGCGATTAGATGGAGTTTACCCAAACGAGGTCACATTTGTTGGATTAATCAATGCCTTGAAGTGCAATGAGCAAATCAAAGAAGGGCTTAAAGTTCATGGGCTATGCATGAAGACTGGTTTTGTTTCAGAACCATCTGTAGGCAACAGTTTCATCACCATGTATGCCAAGTTTGGTGCTCTGGAAGATGCCAAGAAGGCTTTCGATGATATAACTTTTCGGGAGATTATTTCCTGGAATGCTATGATATCTGGATTTGCCCAAAATGGATTCTCACATGAAGCTCTCAAGATGTTCTTATTAGCAGCAGCGGAAACAATGCCAAATGAATACACTTTCGGAAGTGTCTTGAATGCAATTGCTTTTGCAGAGGATATATCTGTAAAGCACGGTCAGCGTTGCCATGCTCAGATACTGAAATTGGGTTTAAATAGTTGTCCTGTTGTTTCAAGCGCGCTTCTTGATATGTATGCCAAGCGTGGGAACATAAATGAATCTGAGAAAGTCTTTAACGAGATGTCTCTAAGGAACCAATTTGTTTGGACATCGATAATATCAGCTTATTCAAGCCACGGTGATTTTGATTCAGTGATGCAATTGTTCCACAGGATGAAAAAAGAAAATATAGCACCAGACCTAGTCACTTTTCTCTCTGTGTTAACAGCTTGTAATAGAAAAGGTATGGTAGACAAAGGGTATGAGGTTTTCAACATGATGATGAAAGACTACAATCTTGAGCCGTCTCATGAGCATTACTCATGTATGGTGGATTTGCTTGGCCGAGCTGGGAGATTAAAAGAAGCAGAGGAGCTTATGAGTGAGGTTCCTGGAGGACCAGGAGAGTCGATGCTGCAGAGCATGCTGGGGTCTTGTAGGCTGCATGGGAATGTGAAATTGGGAGCAAAAGTGGCTGAGCTTGCAATAAAGATGAAACCGGAATTGTCGGGTTCTTACGTTCAGATGTATAACATCTATGCAGAGAGAGAAGAGTGGGATAAAGCTGCAGAAATTAGGAAAACGATGAGGAAGAAAAATGTAAGTAAAGAAGCTGGATTCAGTTGGATCGATGTTGATGAAACCGAAGGGTCTTGTTTAACGATGCAAGGTTTCTCTTCAGGTGATAAGTCTCACCCAAAATCTGATGAGATTTATAGTATGGTTGCAATTATTGGGTTGGAGATGAATTTAGAGGTGAAGGTTGCAGTTTAGGTCTCTTATTCGGAGTTCTAAAAAGTAGTTGTTATAGATAACAAAATTAGAGATATTTAGCTATACAGGTTTATAAGAACTCGCTCACAGTGTGGTTTTCCATTTTATTTTTGCATTGCACATTGGTTTTGTAAGGACCATGGTCGCTTTAGCATGGTTCTCTGATTTTGACCGCATTGACCGGGTTTGATTGATTAATTGAGTACTGTAATGTTTGATACTCGATGGCTGTGAACAACATATAAGTTGTGTGTGTTTGGGCTTTCCAGGGGAAAATAAAAAATTAATTAGTGATCTTTAAGATGCTACCTTCGCTAGACTTGGACTTATTCAAAACAGGTTACCCAAGTCCGACTTATCTAAATCCATACCAAACCAGTTGTCGTCATTATTTAGACCAAACGAGTTGTAGTAGTAATTAGCCATTCATGCATTTGACTTTCTTATATGCTATCTATTATCCATTGCTACTCTATACTCAAAATAGACGAGTCTAACTTTTGCCATCTCTATGATAGAGATACCATCTTCGTAAACTTGTTCTAGGACAACCGTAAAATAGATTTAAGAAGTAGACAACTCATGTTTAGCCGAAATAAACATAGGAAACACTAGGGCGAAAATATAATAAATCTTCAAATCATTGATATATCTGTTAGGTTTGAATTTGGTTGATATTATTCCAAAGCCAAAGGCTAAAAGAAAAAAAAAAGAAAAACTCTAAAAAAGTAAGTAAGAAGAAAAAAAGAACAAAACCGAATTAGTTACAAATTAATATCACATATATGACGAGCCATTCAGCCTTTTTTCTTTTTTAACGAACTCAAGAAAAGAAAAAAAGAGAGAGAATATGATGATGGCTTTAAGGTATGAGTTTGGTGTTGTACTCTTCTGAGTCACGTCTCTTTTGCATGTTTTATCATTGTTTACACATATTATAATATATATGAATCAAAAATTGTAAGTAACTTTGAAATTATTCTTAGAGCATCCTCAATGGTAGGATATTATATGTGTATCTTACGATTAATTTAGTAATAAATTTGAAAAGTGTAAAATTTAAGATTTGTATTTTTGTTTTTTATGCAGGATTATTGGTAGGTTATTAAGTTGTGCATCTTAACAATTTTAATTATTAAAAACATAATAGTTATTGCAAAATAAAATTTTTAAAACATATATGAAATATAATTTATTGCATAAATAACATAAACCATAATTAATTTAAACGTAATTTGTGAAATATTTTGTCCATATCTGCTCGACCAAATCGTTCTTCAATTGTTCATGCATAACTCGATCACAAATTCGAGTTCTAATGGCTATTATATTAATGGGATTTGAATGCATATTTGTAGAATATGTGAAATCCATTCGTGTACTTCCGGAAGATTCTGCCATTACGAATTAATTGACATCAAATTTTGTATATGTATCTTGTTCGTCTTCTATAATCAAATTGTAAAAATATTATACAAGCTCGCATAATATTTCTAATTTTTTCTTTATCCCAAATATTTATTTCAACATCCACTCAGAAACTGCCACGTCACCGTCTCTTAAACATTGTTTTTGTATCTTATATAAGATACCATATCTTACATTTTAATTAACATTTTCATTTAAATTAAATCATTAATTCATCTAAGATACACCTAACATCCTACCATTGAGGATGATCTTAAGCAACTTAAAAAGAGAGAGATGAGGAGAATGTTTACGTCGTCGATAACCTCCTAAAAGCGGATATTCCCAACACGTTACGTACCCCACTTGAGAAGCTAGTTTACACTTTCCTTTTCCTATTTACATTTTCCTGAATACAATATTACTTTTGTTTTCTATGTTGTTAAAACAAACAACAAATGTATTGACTTTTTAGCTCTATCAAGTGAAAGACTCGTATACAAAAGCTGGTCATAATTGACGACAACAAATACAAGAAGAAACAGAATGAAAATTTACGTACTAGCTTTTTACCAAGTTTCAAACTAAAATCTAGAATAATAGAAGACTCCCATGGTGGTTGAAACTTCAAACTAAACCACACGCCTACTTTCTAGTTTTTTTTATATATATAAATATATTGAAGATAATAGCTAGTGTACTACTACAATTTAATCATCAACCGAACAACTAATTTCTAAGTTACATATCCAGCAAAATGTCAATTTAAAAGTGGTTTTTATTTCATTAAAATGGTAATTTAATATAAGAACACATCAAAAATAAATAATCCTTTTGCTAAGAATGTAAGTATTATTAGAAATGTATAGTTGAGGTATTATTACAAGAGAGCATTAAGTGTAATCTTGGCTAAAAAAAAAAAAAAAAACACATCTACATTAGTTGATTTTGTTAAACCAGTACATCATAAAATTAAGGGAACTTAAAAACACAATTAACGCGCGTGTCCACGCTCTAAGAAAGGGAGTTAAAAACAAAAACAAAGCATTAACATTTGCAAATCGAACCGTCATTAATATTATGGGTTGTCTGACTCTCCTTATTTCTGGTTTTAAAGATTTTAACTTAAATCCCACGTCACGAAATTCAATTTTTTTTTTTAAACAAATAATAAATAAAAAACAAAGAAATATATAAATTTCTTAACACCCAATTTTGTGTTTCCATATTTCCATTACCCGAAACCCTAATCCCCCAATTTCTCTTCCAAAATTTGTTCGATCAAGAGAGCAATTCGATCACTTCCGGCGATCAAATTCTCATTCAGGCATTACAGAAGGTATCTCTCTTGTTCAATTTTCTCTCTCTCTCTCTCTTTTTTATTCTATATTTCGGCTTGGTTGATTGTTTCAATGTTGCTGTTCATCCTTTGATCTGTCCCCTTCAAAACAAAAACGAAAACAAAAAACAAAACTGGATCGAGATTCTTCGCTTGTTTTATTGATTTTACGGCTCCTTGTTAAAAACTTTTTGAAGTGAATTTGGATTAATATTGCTTTATTTTGTGATTGATCGCGATTATGTCTATTCTTCTTTCTCCTTACGAATAATTTTGATGCAGCTTCTTACGATCTGTGTTCCTGCAATAATTTATGACAAGGAATATGTTTTTAGCGGAGTCTATTTGAAATTTGTATTATTGAGCTTTCGGCTTAAGATTGTATCTTTTTCTTAGATTCTTATAAAAAGAAAAATGTATGATCTTCTGTTTTGGTTGTTTGCTAGTTAGCCTTTTTCTTTTGATAGAGGTGCTCATATATGGAGATTTTGTTTCTTTTTCGCAGGTATTAAGTCGACCGAGTGAACCATCATGAGATTCAGAAAAGGAAGTCGAGTTGAGGTGTTTAGCAACAAAGAAGCACCTTATGGTGCGTGGCGATGCGCTGAGATTGTTTCGGGTAATGGTCATACCTACAATGTTAGATATTGCTCTTTCAACCTTGAACACGAGGAGACAGTGACTGAGAGAGTTGCGAGGAAGATAATTAGGCCGTGTCCTCCCCAAGTGGATGTCCAGAGATGGGAGACTGGTGAACTGGTGGAAGTTCTTGATAACCATTCCTGGAAAGCTGCCACTGTTCGAGAGGAGTTATCTGGAAACTACTATGTGGTTCGGTTACTTGGGACTCCAGCGGAATTTACATTCCATCAAGTCAACCTCAGGGTCCGACAGTCGTGGCAAGATGAGGAATGGGTTGCAATTGGAAAGGTAATTTCGTTTTAACCTTATGTCATGCTTTCACTTTTAAAGCTATTATGCTCTTGTTTAAGTTCTTTGTGTCTTTTCTTCATTAAGATTACACGTGTGCTATGTTTCCTCTTCCATTTCAATGAATTTTGTGGATCTGGTTGGAGGTGGCAATCTGCGTTGTCTTGTTACATATTGTTTGTTTGAAATAATCTTTAACTAATGTGCTAATGAGCTTACACGTTAACTAACTGGCTTGTAATCATTTTCGCAGATATCTGGTTCGTTGAAGTCATCTACACTGACTGGATCAGACGTACATCAGAAGCTACAGCCTCAAACGAACAACATACTCCTCCATGAGCCTAGTGTTGTCTCTGCTAGAATGTTAAAGAGGCCGTCACCCTACAACTTGTCTGGATGTGCTGAATCATGCACAGGAAACCCCAAGAAGATACGATCACTGGAAAAAGAGGGACAGAAGCACCGATTTTCTGCCTCCTCAATGCAAAAGGTAGATGCTGTTGCTTGCCGACCTGAAAATAGGGGTGGTAAATCTCACGTGCAAGCTTCCTTTAACAATCACAATACTGGTTGCTGTCAACTGGTCAGGGTAAGATCAAAAGGGTTTAGTGAGAGTGTTCGTGCAGGAAGCTTAGTCGCTGATGATTGTTCTGATAGCGATGCATGCTCAGTTGGTAGTTGTAGTGCTACTAGTTATGATGAGAGTGATATGCCACCTTTTATGCTAGATGACTCTAGTCACCAGGCAGACTCATTTAGCAGCGATGCTGAATCTTCTTGTGGCCTCGGGGAAGAAGCAAGGAGGAAACATTCATCAGCTCGTGATGGAGAAAGAAGGTCCTGTAGGTTTGAACTATATACTTACCGCAGTACTTTGGGGGAACTATTTTCTTCTGGTCCCCTAAGTTGGGAGCAAGAAGCGTCATTAACTGATCTTCGTCTTTCTCTTAATATATCAGATGATGAACATTTGATGGAGGTAAGAAATTTGATATCTACTGGTACCCGCAGTCAGTTTTGTTAGTATCAATCAGAATTCAATTTTTTTTTCTTTTTGATTCTTATGGTCAAGTCTGATGGTCTACTTGTCCTGGACATACTTTGCTGCAATGTGGAATCAACTGTCATATATTGTTCTTTTCCAGCGGATTTTATATTAAGTGTATAGAATACAAGCTTGTATGAAAACTCTGATTAGAATGAAAATTTCTGAGGTTCATTTCTATTGCTTTGTCAGATTTCGCTTAGTTTCCTATATTGTAATTCCTGGAGGGGAAAAAAAAAAAAAAAAATCATGTATCCATACTCTGAGATATCATATTTTGAAGGGATGTTCATATGGGTCTTCTTTTCTTTCTGTAATATCAGTTTTGTACTTTAGTGTTGATATCATCTTGTAAGTAACAAGATGGGTCAATAGTATTTTCCTTGTCAGTACACAGTATTATGTGGATTTTGTTTCTGTGCAATATGAAGTCTGAATGTCTGATATGTTGGGTGCTCCTACCTTTAGCTCTATGAAATGTATAGCATAACGGTGTGAGTTTCCTTAGTCATCCCTCTGGACATTATTGATTTCCCCCTGCATTTTTCAGGAACAGTGTTGCCTTGTTCGGGGCATGCAGACCTTTTGCTTCTAGAGGTTTAACTCTGATGCTGGGGTTTACAACTTCTGCCTTGGTCGTCTGAATGGTGCAACACCATACCTGTTTTCCCTCAAAACATAACTGACCATTGATACTGTTTTTTGTTTTCTATCTTGATATTGTGGCTTGTTTCAGGTGTCCTGGAGTCGCCTTCGTCCACAGGGCTTGAAAGCTATGCTTTAAGCAGGTTTCTTAGATAAATTTTACAGTCAGGTTGGTAATTTTGCTGATAACATGTTGAGATCGAGTAAATTCTCTTTACATTTTACAGTTCACTCGTTATATCATGCAGTGCTCTCTTTGTGGTAATGTGTTATCTTTGTGCTTCATTAGAACTGCATGGTGTAGATCCTACCATGTCTAACTATACTAGCTTTGTACGTGATTCTGATATATGTAGATTTAGAACACACTGTTTTCCAGTTACATTGGTTCTGTTTTCGGTGTTTTTTCCAGAGGCATAGTTCATGACGCTCATTCTTTCTGGAAATAAACGTTATGCCAGGGGAGAGGTAAGTGTGAATAGGGTAATGTGTGTGCGTCTAGAAGAATATAGAATTGTATATGCTGTGTAACACAGCCTGTGTTCATCCAGAAAATATGTCGTGAATTGGTGATGTTGAATGATTCCTTGTTCTGATTTGTTCTCATGACTTGCTTTCATGGAATTAATCGAGAGGAAAGGGAACACATGCCTGCTTTCTTGCTTAGTTAGTCGCATGTGCTTTGTGGAAACTCTCCAAGCTCACTCTTCAGATCCCTTCAGCAAAGCTAGTTTTTTTACATGGCAGTATGAAACTCCAAAGCCAAATTCATTAACTGGCACGAAGGTATGGCGCCATAAATTGAACATGTTTTCCTGAGTAGTGGCTTGCGTATATAATAAAAACGAGTTCCTAATCCTCAAGCAGACTTTCTTCCTAATCCTCAAGCAGACTACCCATGCAAAAGCAATCTGACAATATTTCAGTTGTTGCTCCAAAGATTTGTATCTTTGTATATGTGATGAATGTTGTTATTACAAGCCATGAGCTGTCTTTTCTTCTTTGGCTACTTGCTTGCAAGAGGACATCTTAGCCTCAAATTTTGAAACTGAAAGCTGAAGCAATCCTGGTAACAACTGAGCAGTAAACCAGAAAACAAGCCATGAACCTGCAATTTCATTTTAATGTACAAAAATATAACCTCCTCACTTGATGCTTAAAATGTATATCTAACTTATAATATCCAGCTTTTTATTCAGATATTTTGTATAAATTTATATTACTGTTAACAGTTGTTACTGTTTATTTTGTGAATATTTAGGTTGGAGGTGATTTGAAAGTATGATTCCCAAACCGTAAATAAACCTTATTTTCTTCTTTTCTTTTGGGACAAAAATAAACCTAATTTTCTAAATCTCTCTGTTCCGGTCACAATATAACAAAACTGAAGATGGTAATACAATGCGATACTGTATACAGTACTTGATAATAAAGTTTGTCCCTTTCTGCTCGAACCGGATCGATTCTGCATCCGGTTAACCCGTTCGTCCACCGGCGACAGTCCAGCAGCCTCTCTCCCCGCCAATGATAAACACGTTGACGAGAGGCTCGTTTCTCGGCTCTACGATTATCTGATATGTCTCGATCCTCTGTTGAGAAATCTGGACACAGCTGCCCAAAGATTGGGTTTTGGAATTTCTAATTACGGATATCCGATGGATAATTCTTCATAAATGTTAAATACTGTTTTAGGATTGGAGATTAACATTAATATATAAAGTTAATGAACCAAATTAAAATCATAAAATTTTATATTCCGACCAAACAATCGCATACGAACGCCACTGCTCCGCCGAACCCTCCTTGCTCAACCAGAGTGACCACATTTTTTGTTTTTTTTTGTCAAACAACAACTTAAAAAGAAAACACACAGTGTCGTGTCGTCACTCATTTTCTCGTGTATAACTCGCCGCCGCAACAAGCTCACGGCCTTCGAGCACTGAGAAGTTTGACGTCGTCGATCACCGGCCCACACAAGCTCGAGAAATCGTCGTTTCTCATAGCGTAAAACGTACTGTAGAACATAACTCTAGTCCGACCCGAGGCAGCAACAAATCTCAGCGAAGCTCTCTTGAATCCTCCTTTCCCTTTAGATTCGTAAGGGACTTTGATCGTGTCTTTTCCGGCGAAAGCCTCTACGATCATAGATCCAGCACAGGCGTTGCTGGCGTCTCCGACGGCGAATGAGAGTACGTACGTTTTCCCCGGGATAGTGCGGACAACTTGTGCGACAGCGCTCTCTTTACCGGCGACGAGCTCGACGGCGCGACGGCCTTGAGGAACGGAGAAATGATCGGAGTCGATGTATTTGACGGCTTTAAGAGACTCGACCATCCAACCAGGTAAAGGAGAGTGGTCGTCGATGGAGTTTGGTGGGATGAGAACACCGGAGGTTGTGTTTGGCAAAACCCATGGACCTTCTTCGAATCCTCCGTTTTTTAATATGTTCTCTGTAATCAAACAAAACCCCCACAAGTTTTAGATATTTCCGTTTTTGACCGAGAAGTATAATTTTAACCGAAATAAGACACCAAGAAAAAACTCACTATTGGTGGGACGAGGAGGGAAAAGGGCCCTCATGGCAACACCATCAATGAGAGGTCCACAAGCAGGATCTTCCTCGACACCTGGGTTATGTATCACTATATCTGCTATGGTTGCGTGGAGCATCACCAGCTCCAATCCGATCCCAACCGGAGCTACTATACACGGTTTGGATCGGCATTACTGCATGGTGAGGAGCCACAGACACGTTTAGCCGCTCGTCTTGTGCGCATGTTCGAGCAGCGCTGAACGTGATCGAATAGTAAGACCCTTTTTTGACGCTGATTTTTTGTTTGATCGAGGCTTCGTTGCCTAGACGCACTGCGAAAGCGCCTTTAGGCACGACGAGGATCATGTCGCCTTGTTTTTGTCCTGAGGGAATGTACTCGACGAAGCCTGAGAGTTCCCAGTTTGGGATTGCTGCTTTGTTGATCACTTGTGTTCCTTTCATGTCCGAGTGCCGTGGACCTAGTTCGAAGTCCCCGTTTGGTAGTAGTCCTGTTTTGTTACCAACAAATTATAATAAAATTGGTTAGGGCTAGCTCTGTTGTAATTCTATTTAGATTAGTAGATTCGTCAACTTGGATTGTATGATTTGTTACATAACATCGCCACTCGCGCGTTACTAGAAACAAAAATTACGTATTAAGTTAAGCACAGTTTCAGTATTTTGTTTTAACATTAGTAATGTTTTGATGATGAATAATGGTTTTGTTATCTTGAAAAGTTGGAAGTTATTAGATCTATGATAAAACAAGTAAGTGTATAAGAATTGAATAATTAAAAAGTTAAATTACAAAATATTAAAATGATGTAAAAAAGTAAGAATATCATAACATGTTAATTAATTACAGATGGGAAGGTGAGATGAGTAATTGAGTGATATGCATTTATTGACAAAACGCCATGTGCCTTTACAGATCTGTTTCGCCCTAGCTAGTATTCATCCAACATGTTCATCAAAGCTACTACTTTTAAGTCAAAAGTTAATTATTTTGACGACAATCAAAAAGTGTTTTGGACATACAAGTTGTAAGAAGCAATGAATCAAAACTGAACAAATGTTCCAAAATACTAATCTAGATTTGTTTTTGGAAGTTAACTTATTTTCTGGTTTGGCCAATATACAGAAAATACAAGAATGCGAGATGTGTATAAAGATTAGAAAATGAAGGACTTACCATCTTTGAAGCAAAAGGCAACGTAGAAGAATGAGTGAAGTAGAAGAAGCACTATCACTCCCATCTCTTTCATTTCTTTCGATTTATTTTTCTCTACCCCAATAATGTTAAATATATATAAACTGTAAACTTTCGAACAGTAAAGTTTGAAGAAGAGTGAACGAGAGAAGAAGGAATGTTTAGGAGTGGGAGTGGAAGAGAACGAGGGTGGAGAGATCTCTTTATATGCAAAGAGTTGTCTAACAAGAAGCCCCTTGCCTATTTTTAAACTACGGCTTTGCCACTGGGGACTTGTGTCGGACAAACATTGGTCGTGCCTTTATTTTATATTCATCGTTCCTTGGAAATGGGTTACTTTTTTTCTTAGAAGGTTTGACTAAAAAGATACGTACTATCAAAACAAACTTAGTATTGGTTTGATGAACAGTTATCGCCAGATGAACAAGATCTCCCGGGGTAATTCTAGTCTTGCGAAGGGTATATCGTTAACATCATAACTTTTTCAAACATCGTGATTCCATCATGGAAATATTAACTACCTTCTTATCTGTTACATAACACAAAAAGATATTAAAGAGGAACAACTACGAGGCTATACGTACAGATCTAATTAATTAACTGCGATTTGGGAAATGATAGTTATGTGAGCTAGTAGTAATGGTAATATAATTGCGGGAATGAAGAGGACAAAAGCTGTGGGACAGTATAATGTGGTCTCTCTCACATGCCTTATTCACATTGGTTCTCGCATCGCCACAAGTTAAAAGTCGCTTAATGTTCTGAGTTATCCTATCGCATACACATAACGAATAATAGAGAGTATTATTTTATATAACAATTCCGAATCAAAGGAAGCAGTTGCTTCAATAGCTTGATCCGTGTGCCAAATCTGTAGCAAGGTTAAGATATCTATGGCTCAGGTTTTTTTTCATGGGTTTGGTCGGTAACTTTCAACCGCAGCTAGAATTTAATTGTTGTGTAAAGTAGACTAATCAGACAAACAATGTTTATTCGTAGGAGGCTTTTATACTATTCTGTATTAATATGAAAATGTATGAGCGTTGTAGTGATTTACCAAAAAAAATCATATCATCAAAAGTTAGTGTCGTTGAAACGCATCACACACGAGCGCCAAATATCGCAAGTGTAAAGTGTAAACCATGCGGACTCCTTTTTTTTTCTTTTCAACATAAATAATTTAACCATATAATGGTCATCTTCGATCTAAAATTTTGAGTAGTCTTTTTCCAACTTTTTTATTTTTATATATCATGTGGTTTCTTAGATTTAGTCTGCACATTTGTCGTCAATAATCATCGATATTCTTGAACCAAACTAAAACAAAAAAAAAGTACATGAACATGATCAACATTATCACAAATATCTCTAAGCGGTATTGGATAGTTTGGAAAATAGTCAAAATACCAAAAGAATAACTAAGCAACCATTTGCTATATATATATAATCGAATAATTAAGCAACCATAAAAATAATTAGAGTGAAATGAATCATGATATTAAAAATGGAAGAATAATCGAATTTTGTCTCTGCGGCGTCAGAATTAATAGATCACTGCAAAGAAAGGCCACCGACTCTCTCTGTTAGCGGTGCTTTTATTGCACAAATTATTGTACTCAAAAACATATTGCGTGCATGTTTATAAATACATACACATGCACTGCATAAGCATAAACTGTGTGTATCATATTATAAATATATCTCTAACATGCATTTGTTTCTAATTATGTTTTATATTTTTGGATAAAAAGTGATGCTCACATGTTCTACTTATTAGCAACATCCATGTCTACAATTTACGATCGGAGTTGATGGCCTAGTGGGCGGTCAATTCTCCAATGTCACCACTACTCGTATATCTAGACTGAAAAATTGTATGCACGAACAATGTGTATGTATGAGTCAAGGAGTCTTTAAGTAAAGTTAGGTTCCATTAGACTTTATCTGTACAATCTTTTTGTTATATAAAAAAAAAAAAAACTCTGTGTTGGTGGTTAAACCTAAACTTATGATTTTTTCGGCCATAAAACAGGGGCCACGTAGCTATGTAACTTTGGCTTGATGTTACTCGTGGATCCAAATCAAATGATAATAGAAATATATAAGAAATTACTGAAAAAGATGTAGACATGCATGCATGGGAAAGTGGACCAACTTTTACAACACGACATTTGACTATGCATCCTCTTTCTTGATTTGCAAAACTATTATCTCTAGCTTAGTACTTAGTAGAATTCAAATCTCTAGCCAGACGATTTAATCCGACAGATGAAATCACAGTTTTGACTTGTGGTGCTAAGTGCTAACTAACGGACAACGGCAATGTCATATACATCATCCATCCCCGTTTTAGATTTTTTTTACGTGTTTAAAGCATCAACTATTTTTTAGCAATATTTTGTTGCTAAGCTACCATTTAATATATATATATATATACCTATCTAGGTTTAGAGCCAATTGTTATAAGTAAATATACAATGTCACTTCTTTTAGCTCAGAATTAATTCACTTGCATATACAATGTCATAAGATGTTAACAGAAAAAGAATGAAAAAAAAAAAACAAATTGTTAGAATGGAGCGAAATAACGGAGAAGACATAGTAAAAGAAAAGGACAAGACAGCCGTCAAAAGGATTCATAGTTATCAATATAAAATTACAGAAAACTGGACTACCCTCGTGGAAGACACTTAATGAGCCTGTCTCACGCTGAATCGTTATCCTTGTGTATTTACAAAAACGAAGTGCATCTATATATGTTCCTTAGTTATGGCGTCAGAAAAATTATCTAATGTTTCATCGACGAGAGTGTTTTCTAATAGTGTTAGATTATGTGATGAGTATGAAAGCATGATCAAATCAATAGTGTAAAACGAGGGAATAATATAAAACGCTATTACATTTGTTAATTATGAGTATATATGGTTTTATCTTATTTTGGTTATATTTCGAGTACTTGTGTGTTATGTATTAGAGAATACTTGATATATATATAACACAATACTACTTGAGTTATGGAATCAAGCTAACTAAAGACAAGTCAGTCTGTGTCAATGAGTCACATGCAACCGACTTTTAATGGTCGACCCTCATGTAAAGTACAGCGGAGTATATATATTTTTATTTGTTTGTCTCTTCAAAGAAACATCCAAGTTTAAACAAATTAATGGAAGAGCCTATAAAAATCCAAAGTTATTAAGGAAGCACATAAACCAATCTCTAAAACCAATATGTGTAACTGACCCATTTTCATACATCACATCTGTCAGTGTCAGTACTACATACACCTTGTGTACAACCTTAATTTTCACTTCCACGGACCATCCATGATTTACTCGAATGTTCTGTCTCACAACATCAAGTATTGGATAAGCTAAATAGTAAATCCCGAACTTATTTCGGGATCCACAGAATCCGATGATAAATGAAACGCAATCGACCCAACTCTGTATAGTGCGAGTCTCAGTCACGTAACATCATGATTGGTTTTTAGTTTATGTAGATTGATTCTCAATCAATCATGCATTTGGGTGGGTTGCCATAATGTTCATAACTTCATGTGATGGCTGTAAACCCCTCAAATTAGCTTAGAATTCGAACCAGAAAAAAGCCTCGTTTAATTAAGGGAATAAGATCGAGTCTGAACAGCATATCTAATCTTCTTGTTATTCCTCATTTAACTGTAACAATTGTGGCTAAACGAAAGTGATGCAAAAAGAAAAGGAAGGAAAGAGGGGACAGAGAGGGAGATGGGTAACTAAAGAAGAGATCTGACCTGAATCTTTTAAAGACTTGTGTCCCAGTCTACGCACTCACAAATCACATGCATGTGTTCTTTTCTGGATATTTTTTTATATGAAAAATACATGTAACATGGGTCTCTCTATCATATGAATGATTTTACATCCTGTCGATAATATGTATAACAAGATTGTATATGAAATCCCAATTTTCATTTCCCAATTTCCGATATGCCCAAACTCAGCTGGATCTCTTTCCCCCTTCTCACACCCGCCGGTCCTCACAAGATGACTTCTCATCTGTTATTTTCTTTAGTTAAACAAAAGGGTTTGTTTTGGTCAAAATTAATCCTTTGGTAATGAATTCTACAGAATTCACCATGACCCCCTTGGTTTTAGATTATCTCGGTAGAATACCAACTTTTACCAAATTTCTCACTTTCTGGTGCATAACACTAACATTAGACAAAAAAAGAAAACACACCACCCCCATACCATAGACTTGGACCATTCAACGACTGGTTTTATCGGTGCCTAATAAAACCATAACTCTCCCATTAATATTTCACATGTAATTGTCAATGCAAAAGAGTATATGGAATCATGGCACTTGAGCCAATCATATAACATCTAAGCAAACATCGAATATAATAATAATTGAGACAGACTTAAGTTGCGTCGTCCATTTTATTCAAGCCAGCAAACGTGAAAAATGTAACTTGGCAACATAATCCATTTAGGAAAACTATCACAGATTTATGCTTTTCTCAAGTAAAAATAGCTCATTCCAGAAACTGAATATAAATGTAATCCATTTGGAGATTTATGGAGAGAAGCTGTGTTGACCACAACTTTAGGAGGAAATATAATGCTTATGGGAGCGTGCGCTGGTATAGTGGTAGAGCTCCCAAGGCCTCTCGTTCCTTGCTTTCCCTCTCAACCTGCAATGAACAACATGAAAACAGTGATGATGATGATAATGAAGACGATAATGGTCTTTCCTTACAGAAAAGTTACACTGGGTACTATTAAAGCATTGCAAACAGTTTATTTACAACACAACACTAAATGAAATAGGGACGCAGAAGATCTGTAAAACATCTTGCTTCATTCAAGGAACGAAAAGTTATGCATCTCAAACTTTTAGTCATTGCTTCTGTCAGTATGCAACAAGCTGATGTCAAACGAGAGCATTCATGTCAATGCATGAAAGCAGAAAGACAAAAAAAAAGAGAGACTAAATTGCAGTGTGATTCTTCCTAACCGAGAGGCAGATTATGCTTTATGGATAATTTCATCAAAAAGAGACTTACAAGAGCCAGCATCTCCTGAAGATAGCCACGGAATGGGGTCTGCACCGCCTGTATATCATATAAATACATCAAATAAGAATGTTAAAAAATCCAAAAGAATGCCAAACAGATGCAATTTTTTATAGCTTAATATCGTAAACCATAGCCACCGCCTAAATCACATAGTTATACAGTAGTATAAATGCAAACACCACTTCAGAAAGTAAAAAAATGTAACAAGGAAACAAAATCCCAAATTTCAAATAAGCTCCCAGCAAGTAGCAAGGGAAGAGTTAACACAGTAACGCAAGAGACGAGCATAATACATAAGCTAGTTTATATATATCTAAGCTCCGATATTTTTGTAAGGTATTCAGATGATGTAGGTTCAAAAAACTTTTAAAATTGAAATCTAAACACTTCAGTTTCTTAAATCTATTTCTACCAGAAGACAATAAAGAATCTAACATTCAACCAATACTTAAGCTCAATTATATGAGTTTGCCAAACATACAATCCATATCCTAGATCAATTTCGTTGGAGAACCAAAAAAAATTGACAATGAAGAATAGTAACAATACCTGAAGATCCTTGGGGAGATACTCGTGCTTCATGGAGAGGTCCATGGCACGCTTGAGACGCTGGTTACGAGCATCAACAACCTCCCTGGGCAATCTGTTCATAGCCTCTTTGATGTCCATGCTGTAATATTGATCGTACAGATCATCGTACCTCAGACCTAATCATTTCAACCAAAAAAAAAAACAAAAAACGAACAGAGCAGATTCAGATTCAATCCTGAACCAGCAACCTCATTGACAACAACAACAAATCCAGATTCAGAAATTAGGGTTATCGATCGAGAGAGATCTGACCGTATCTGCGGAGGCGAGTAGATATGGCTTTCATATGCATACGAGCGAGGAAGTTCTTCTTCGGATCGATGAACGATTTCAAAAGCGACGCCATTTTTCTCTATCTTTCAATTTCAACGATTGCGCAATTTCAGGTTTCTCTTGTTGTGCCAATGAGTGAGAAAGAAACGAAGCTGCTGGCCCTGGGAGAGAAAGGGGTAAATTTACAACGCTGTTGAAACGACGACGTGAATCGCGCTTTTATTGGGCCTTGAATGGCCCATCTAACTTCTTAAAACTGTTTTTTTTTTTTTGTCGTCGTCGATTGTATTGATTTCCAAATTGGAAAATTACATGGTGATCAGAGTCCAATAATACAAAACATGCAAAGTTCAAAATAGGCCCAATATAAAACATTACAAAGCAAGATAAGCTAGCCTCATAAAAGACACGTATTAAGACACGTGTTGTTTACTTGTTTTGCAAATTGAAAGTGGAAGACGTCGATTGACTCATCCACAGAAGCTGAAGCGGTGGCTGAATTTTTTGCCGACGAGAGTTATCACCTATTCCAGCTGCTTTCTCCGATTCACCATAACACCACCTTTTGCTAAAATTTCCGAAGGTTTAGAAAAGAGATTCATGATTCATCTAATTTATGGATCACCGGAAAACATAGCTTGGCAAGAGATCAAATCAGTCGCAAAACACGCTCTCCTGATAAGTTATATACCAATCACTGAATTCCACTCATCAAGATTCCCAGACAAAAAGAGAACCTGCATCCATAACCGATTATACGGTTTCATAAGGGTATGAGGGTTTATCTCATTTTGCAAGAGAATCAAGCAAACGATGAATTTTGAATCTCTGAACAAAACTCCGGCGTTTATCTCCTCTAGAATAGAAGAGAATTTGCTGCTGCAAAAGGGGAGAAAACTAGTAAAAACAAACAACAAAATAGCTAAAATAGCTAAACAAAACACTCGCACTAAGACGAGAAGATACAAATCTGGACTTAGCCAGAAAAGAACCGATTTTAATCGGAATATCAAAAAGATAACTAGATTTCTCTCTCTAAAAGATATGAAAGTGATAAGAGAGAGAAAGCTCTTACTTCTTAAAACTGTTTATTTCTGTGGCTGCGTATTTCAACTACAAATTCGATTATTTTCATTTATTTCTCGAATTCAGCAGCGAAGCACCAGTGGTTTAGTGGTAGAATAGTACCCTGCCACGGTACAGACCCGGGTTCAATTCCCGGCTGGTGCATTTTTAAGGTCTTTTAAACCTTTTTTTTTTAATTCCAAGTTGGCTTACAAAGTCTTTGCAATAAGTGGAGACGCTACAGCTGAAATATATGGTATGCTTGGACACTCTTAGGGGGCAAATGCCATCAAAATCCTTGGAACTCAATTTGTATGTGTATGTATGTATGATTGATTGATAAAGCTAGTTGCATGTATAAATGGTGTAGTTAAATAAACCCTAAAAAAATGATAGCTAGTTGTGAAAAAGAGAGTTTAATTTAATACATTGGAATCAAGTGTACTGTGAAACGATAATATAGTTATATAGGTACGCTAAGTTAAACAAGTATATATATGATTGTATGATCTTTACTCTAGACGAATTGGATTCCGGCTAACATCTTTACTCTAAGCGAATGGGAGCATTTTAAGTTATAACTTTAAAATACCATTGAGTGTTGAAAGGCATGTTTTTGTCTCCTTATGATTTAAATTAATTAAGAACTCTCAAAAGTTATATAGTATATCATCTCAACTTGCAAATATTATATATATAAGGTTAAAATGTGGTGATTTAAACAAATATCTCTAGCTAATCCTATGTTCCCACTTTCTTGACAAAGCATTTCAAAAGTTCAAACCGTCTCTGGTCTTTCTCTAAACAATTTTTAATTGAGGTTAGGTTGAAGAGATTTATCATGGATGTAGGTACTCGATTTAGTTTGATATCTTTATTTTGTTTGGTGGGATTTTAGATCACGACCCATATCCTCATTGTTAATTTCTGTTACAATGAAGTCGTCGTCGTACAATGAAAAATACGAAGTAGATAACACAAATGTATTACTTTTTTTATTTCCAGCTTACATCATTCATTATCGTATCGTAAAATATGAAGTAGGTCAAAAGTTTAGCAGCTGCTTCTTGATGAGTTCCTAATCTTTATCTTCCAAATAATTCCTACAATATTTAATAACGCGCAACTACAAAATTTAAAAACTTATATGTATTTTATTTTTTGTTTCTTGAGAAAACAATAAGTTCATCTAGAGCATCCGGTGATAATGCCGGTATGTATAAGGGACTATATGAGCTGTTCTAAAAATTGTGTATATAAAACAGTTTTAGCTTAATTAATTGACAAATTAAGCACATAGCACCGTCTCTAGTAGAATACCAGTTATTTGAATTCACTATTACTTACTAGATTACATAAGATTATGGTTTCATGGTGGTATTATTGAACACTCTCAAATTAGAACTTACAGTACTTGTAACTAACTTGTTGGATTGAAAAAATTAAAACGTCCTTAGGATTGTTATTTTACTTTTTACATTAATAAATTAGCTAATTATCCTAAACTGCTTTCATAATTCATAGCACATGGTTTTGGTATCATAAAAGAAGTTAATAATTCAGTGATTGTATGATAATATTTTTTCTTAATTAATGTCACATTTGCCTTTTTCTTCATTGGTTCTTTTCGGCCGTCTAAATTTTCTTTGTTAAAAGAGAATTTTTATTTTAATTTAAACTTTGTACGATATCAGACAAATTGTTGTCTTATTCTATTGATATAGATAGAAGTTATATTTATTTAAGATTTGATTCTTATGCTTTTACACAATATTCCAATTCCTAAGTGTTTGATAGTGAGGTTCATATAAATATTACATTGAAAAAGTATATTAAAAAATATGTATGCTGATGCAAATTGCCATAATTTATTTATCTACAGTTATAAACAACACTTAATAGATCATTAGTTAAAAAATGGAACTATATCAACACTTAACTTGTTTTTGGTTGGATATGAGATTGATTATGGACTTTGATTTGATTATTAGTTCTTTACAAAAACACAAAAGCACACAAAAAAAGTGTCTTCAGATATTTTGGATACAATGTTTTAGATTCTTAAATTTAAGATGGGAATATCCCATCAGTCTAAATGCTGGGAGACAAACTAATTTGTGAAAAATATTCGAACTTTGATTCCTTCTTATCCCACTCTTATTCCTTAATTAAAAGCTACAAATTAATATAATTTATACCATTGTTGATATGGGCCACTGTTCAAAAACACCATCAAAATAAAACTAAAAATATCACTACTAATAATGAAAGCTATAAAGAAGACCAATGAAGATAATCGTTATTCCCTTCAGACAAAGTTAATGAAAGATAGCAATATGTTATCTTAGTATTTAAAAACAATATATACAGATGGTGATTGTATTTTTACAAACTATGCCATAATTTATGGTACTACTTTCCCACACAAATAATTTTGAGATTTCAAGAGGTATTTAGTTTGTTTTAAGTATAAGAAGAAAACGTTGACCAAAAAAAAAAAAGTTTAAGAAGAAAACAATACTTGAGTTTAGTGTGTATAACTATAACATGTTGATGCGCTGTGTGCATGGTAAAGTTATGTGAACTTGTGACATAGAATGGGGAAATTTTGTAGACAATGAATACTAATCTACTGGTTACTGAAGAACAAGGAACACTAAGTTTGGAACTAGTTTGTTATTGCTAAGGCAAAATTTGGTGTTTGTTTACAAGGAACTATAATTTTCCCTTGAAAACCAATGGCTGGCTTAGTCGCATAAATACACACATAATCGTTTTTTTTATAAAGATAAGACACATAATCCCATAGGCAATCGTTAAAAGGACGAAACACACAAAAGTAGCCGTGTAAGAAAAGGTATCGTATATATAACAATTGACATAATTTTAATTATCAAAAAAAATTTATAATAATTGACATAATTTTAGAACTTTCGTGATATAACCAGACCTAATCGTATACGTACACATATTATATATTATATAGTATGTTTTTTTTAGCAATTACCATTACAGTTTTCTTGTCAAATTCACAAATGTTGAATGATACACAAGAGTCCTGGAGTACCTTTTCTTTTGACAAGTGTTGTTAACATTTCTGTAAGTTTCAAAATGATTCGATATCAGAAATGATCCTTCTCAAAAGCTTTGATAAATCAACGTTTAAATATTATTCAATTTGGAACACATACGTTACTTTTTTTTTTCTTTTTAAATGGTTAAATTAATCCTGCCGGTAGGCGGTAACCTTACTTTCTTTTGGCTCTTCGGTTTCACTCCTAGCCAAAATAATTCATTCTATTATATAATTAATGTTTGTAACAAATCAATAAAATATAGTACTATAGTAGTAAAATAATAAGATCTTGGCTCAGTCTTTTTTTTCTCCTTCTAGAATTTTGAGGAATATATTGGTCCTCATTAGAATTCTAAACTATTTTCAAAATTGTAAAACTAGTGTATATAGCCACTCAAAAACTGTCGCAAGATAGAACGTTTCAAAAGACCATAACTTATAGCTTAGTGGTTAATATACCAATGTTATGTTACTATATTACCAAATTCATATGTTGCATACTGATGATAGTTAAAAGAAAAATTAGATATGGGAGTTTAACGTACATCTATATAGTACACACACAAATGGTCCTCAGTTAGAATTCTAAATTATCTTCTTCTTCTTTTTTTGTATATATTTTCGTTTTAAGCTATACTACTAATCTGTTTCCAGTGCAAAATAATTTATACTAATATTAATTTTGTAAACAGGTTTAAGAAAAACAAAATATTTCAATAGTTTCATTAATTAGCAGAATTCTGCATGCGTCACTATGCGTGTAGTATATATTTCCTTTGACATCAGATATATTTAAGTATATATGTCTACTAACGCGAAGTATGAGCATAAGATCTCAGATTGATTATTCAACGAGTCGAATGTGCACTAATTTAAGTCGTAATTGATATACAAGCTAAGAACATTATTAAAACATATCTTTTGCGCAAACATATACGTGACAGCTTTTCACAGCATATTAATTATATATCACTACAAAAACATGCAGAACTCTGCGTCGGTTCTACTATTTTTAATGACATGTTTGCAAAACGATTCAAATATTAATTATAAGAGTTTTGTTCAATATTTTGTTCATGTTGTATATTAGAAATATATATAGCCGGCACGATTCAGATACGCACACATACAAATCTTAAGTTTTTTTTTTAAGTACGGTATCAAAACGGATTTTATGAATGGTTCCAGTAAAATCGTAAATAATTAAAAAAAAATACAGCTATAAAAAGAAAAGAAAACAAAAAAAAATCCACCAATGGGAGACGTAACCACTGGAGTAAAAGAATCCATCGACTTGAAAACAAATGACGACATTCTTCCAACATTATGTATGACTGTGTACAGTTTTGGGATAGTCGTATTATGGGCGTCGTCTTGTATTATAAACGTCAAAGCTCAATTTCTGAAAATATAACCATCAGAATTTTTAAAGCCTCTTTTTTATGTAGTTACCGGTATAAAAAAGTTTCAGCTTTACTTAGAGCTAGTGACCTAATTAATCAGTAATCGGAAAAATTCAGAAAGTTGTACCAACCTATATAAAGTATCTCTACTAAAAAACAACAATATGTGCATACATCAATGCATGATTGCGTAAACTTGCAAATTTTGCAATGTCTTTTCGTCATCAGTCAGGGTACTAACAACAAAGAATAACTGTTTAGTGTTGTTGTTCACCTCATCTCAAGGATCTGGTCCACATGCTGCCACCATGTGACCCTTGTTCAAGAATATTCCCAGCCTCTCAAAATCCCTCTTGGAGATAAATGCGGAATATTCTACAAAACCGAATCATTTTTCACTTTTCTAGTTTTCATATTTCAACTTATTAAAAAGAAAATTATGATCCGTTCCAAAACATTTCATGTGGGCGATCAAGAGAAGCATCTGTCTAAATAAAACCGAAAGTGATTTATATATTAATTAGACCATGCATGTGTACTATATATATAAATATGTGGTTTAATAGACATGTTGAAAATAGATAAATCGAAAATGTGATCTAATACTATTGCCACATTTGCCAATCCTTGTTACCAAACTAAAGTATTGAATGCGTACATGATTTGCAAGTGATATGACGAAGTTAGTAGCATATGATTTGCAATAAAAAAAAAATCAGAAAATGATGATAGGAGCTGAGGATTATTAGTAATGTAAGTTGAAACTTTGAGCTAATTAAGACCACTAAAATTATTAGTTTGGTGGCATGCAGATGCATATGACAATCAAGGAGATGATCACCCCCATGTAATTAGTGTAAGTAGTACTTTAGTCGGGGGGTGTGGATAAGTGCGTGTAGGACAAAAAGACACGTGTATGGCTATCTTCCACGTAAGATGTCTTTGTCTTCGTCTGATTATTGGCACGTGGGTCCTCTTCTCCTAGATCAGGACGAGTCTTCTAGCGACTTGCATCCGTTTTTTTTTTTTTTTTTTTTTTGTTGATTATTAATTATTGTCTATTTACTATTATCATACGTTTTCGTTTTTTTTTTAGTTTCATCTGAATCGCATGAAATAAATAATTTGGGATACATGTACACTAGTTTAACGCATAAAGTTTCAAATACTGTGGACGATGATATGGATACAATATATAATATAATCACACAATAATAACGTTTATGTCAAGGTACATAAACCTTTTTTTCATTTCTTTGAAAGTCACCGTGTAGGCGTGTACTCATCAGAAAAAAAAAATGAGTAACGTACAGTAGTTAAGGAGCTTTATGTAGTTTGAAAACCATTAAAATGAAAATTAAAGCTCCAAAAAAGATTGCCTTGTGATAAATGATAATGACAATTGATTTCCTGGATAAACAAATAATTTGTTTCCGTTAATCTAACTCCACAAGCTTTTTATTAAGTTTTCAGATATATTTTAAAGAATTTAAATTAAGAATTAAGAAGAAAAAATAGTAGTATATGGATAAAACCTAATTGTTAAAAATGGATTAGATAGCTAGTGTACTAATCTAAATTAGCCTAAAAATAATTAGTATAACGAATAAATAACTCGAAACGAGTATATCCGAATCTGTGGTCTGAAGTAGTTGTCGTGATTGGGGCCGTGCTGACATAAGAACTAGCTGTCTGTAAAGCCATCAGATCCCAATCATGTACTCACACGTCATCTTCTTCCAAAACAGAGCATCAAAGCACTTGTTCGCGGCGCCTTGTATCTGTGTTTTTTTTTCTCCCACCTCATAGCGCGGGTCCCCAATCCACTTATCCGGGTCTTACTTTTCTCTGACTATATATATATATATATACCCTCCTCGTTTATTTATTCCAACACAAACAAAACAAAAGGAACAAAAAAGAAAAACAAGAAAGAAACAGTTCCCATCTCTCTCTCTCTCCTCTTTCTCAAGAAAAAAATGGATCGGCAAAACTCCGATGACATCATGAAATTTCTCGACGGCATGGCTAGCTCCGACGATGTTTTATTTGGTTTCCTCGACGAAGGTAACCACTCACCCGAGGATTATAACTTCGCCGCCTGCGACGAATCCGAAGTTGACAACGACACCACCGATTGTAATTCCCAAGAGAACATAAAATTTTGGCAAGAACAAGAACAGCTTCTCCAGGTAGCTTTCTTTTTTAATATGAATATATCTCTTTCTTTAATTGTTTAAAGGATTCCAATTGTGTATTTTTTTATATCTCATTAATTTATTTTGTTTCTTTGGACCAAATCTGAAATGTGTAGGCGACACTGTATAGGACAAGTTCAATTGAGACAAAGATAAGACAAGCAACCAAGGAAGCGTTAAAATCTGTAAGATCAAAGGGTGTGGTGTGTGTCTGTCGGAGACCCGTGACCGACGGTTGCCGTAGCTGTTTACGCAGCGAAGTATCTCGCCGTCTCCGAGACGCCGGCTATGATTGCGTCATTTCCAAATCCAAGTGGAGAAGCTCTCATGAGATCCCTGCCGGTAATATTTTGTTTTTAGTCAAAATTAATTTCTCAGTATTCTGTTTTCCTAATTAAAGAATTTTGATTTTTTTAGATTGTTTTAGGGGATTTCGTTTTGGACTTGTTTTTTGAAACTTTAACGCATCTTTATCACACCATTAATTTATAAACCAAGTCAACGGAATTATCTAGATATTCTAAAAAAATATATATGTATTGAACATTTTTCGCGTTGTGAATTATAATACTTTGGACTAACCATGATGTTTATTTATCTAAAACATTAGGTGAGCATGAATATTTGGAGATCGTGGACAAATCGAAGAAAGGCGAGATCCGGGTGGTGATCGAGCTATGTTTTAGGGCGGAGTTTGAGATGGCGAGAGGCAGCGAAGAGTACAAACGACTCACCGGAATGTTACCGGAAGTGTACGTCGGGAAAACGGAGAGGCTCAAGTCATTGATAAAGATATTGTGCACGGCAGCGAAGAAATGTATGAAAGACAAGAAGATGCACTTGGGTCCTTGGAGAAAGCACAAGTACATGCAAGCCAAGTGGCTCGGAACGTGCGAGAGAAAATCTGTGTCGCCGGTCTCGGAGACGGAGGAGGATAGGTTCCCGGAGGCAAAACAGAGGGTTTCTATGTTGTACTATGGTCTTCTTGGTGACGGAATGGGCTGTCCAGCCGCCGTAGCGGTCGTATGATTGTGTGTATATATATAATATAGACGTTCGAATACGATAAGTAAGTTAGGCGGTGGGAAATAAAAGTGAAATGAGTTTCGCTTTGAGGTTTTGAGTGAAACGGTCTCATCGATGATTTTGTGTGTGCCCAAAACAGGGCAACTTTTTTGTCTTTTTTATGTGTGTTTTTGATGAATAAATTATAACTATACGAAGCGGTATTTTTTAATTCAGATTGTTACCCTAGGTAGAGAAAAAAGTAGAATGTGTGATTATTGTTTTCAGTCAACACGGTTTTGCAAGAATCAGTTTACCCTTTTCTATTTGGCAAATGAACAAAACGTGAATATATAAAATCGCATAACGTTTACACTTTACAGTCATCATCTTATTGACTTATCCTTGTACGCGCTTTTTTGTTTGGCTCGGTATTAATAGGTTTTCTAAAATTAGTCAGGTGATCCTTGACACTTAATATAGAGTTCACACAGAGTTTATGAAATAAATTAATCTGTTATTTCTATCATTCTATGTAGCGTAAATTGCGTAAGATATAAAAGTGAGTAGACGTGCAAGTATCGCCTTTTTTTTTTCCGGGAGAAGCATTAGTAATCTGAAATCAAGATACACAAAACGAAAACAAGGACAAATACGATACGGGAGAAATACAAAAACTTACATGAAACATAATATAAAACACATTATTAGCAAAACTCAAGTCACCCTCGCAATTAACCAGAGACAATGCATAAAAGCTAAACCATGGAACTCATCATAATCACGAGAATCAAGCCTAGAGAAACCACCCCCGGACCAACGGAACCGGCCGAACTGCGAACTGCGGCCGAGGGGCCTGATGCTGGAGAAAGAACTCCTGAATCAGATGGATCTACTCTCGGGGAAGGTGCCGGCGAAGACAAAGCCGGATGGACCGGAGACACTGTGGGTGATGGGGAAGGAGAGGGAGGATGACGATGAGTGTGACTGTGGTGGACCATGGACATAACCTTTACGGCTAGCTTCTGACCTTTGAGACAGTTTCCAGAGTCGCCACTGACGAAAAAGAATGGCCCTGAGCGGCTAAGTAGGAAGATAGAGTCACCGTCTGAGAGGGAAGTCAAGGGGTGCGTCGTGTTGCATGTGTTGTACTCTTTCTCACTCACCACCAACACTGAATCTTTTCCTTTCACGTACTTAAAATCTTGCAAAATCAAGAATTAATATTATCATGCATCAGTGACAAATTGAAGCATTGTGTCCATTAGCCCTTATAGATCGAGTAGAAGAGAGAGAGAGAGACTTACAAAGAGTGTCGTTGACTTGAAACCGGTTCCTGTGAGACCAATGAGAATAATCCTCGGAGGGAGTAAGGACCCATCCATCACTCTCACCAACATAGAACTTGTGCCCACTTGATAACCCTATTGTAAACCTACCCAAATCCATCAACATCACAATCAAGAAGTAAACATCAAACATTTTGACTCCAAAACTTTAATTACCAACTTCTTACTCGCTTATAGCTAAAACTTGTTAATTAGGTGTGTGTGACTGGGTATTTGGTGTATGAGTATTTATGGTGAAAGCAGTGGACAAGAGATAGCCGTTGGTAAGAGCGTTTGGCTGTGCATCGATATCTAAGATAGAAAATGCCATTAAAGTAGCTAGAAGCGTTTCTTGCTTTCTGGCTCATCTCTTTTCTTTTATTACACGTTTCGACATGCGATAGACTTAACGGCTATATATATCTTCTTTCAACTCTCTTCCAACCAATACGGACAAAGAGACAACCATATTTTTCGTCAGATCTTTAAGTAGAAAATTAAAATCCAGTTTCTCAATTCAAACTTATATAACGTATGGTCTCGTTCAAACTTGTTTGACTGGACTATTCTAGTAATTTTTCGGCTGGAAGAAGAAATTCATATCTCTCTTTTGACTGTCAATAGAATGTGAAGTTATATAACCTTCTGAAATTTGAATTATGTATAAAGTAGTAATAATGTATCGACACGTACATGGGTCTTATTATATTTATCTCCCTTTTTTAGATATTTTAATTTACTTTTATGGATACGAATAAAGTTATTACAAAAATGTTGAATTCTCATAATCACATTTGTATTAGTTTAGTAAGGAATCTGTACTTAAAGATTTTTTTTATATGTAAAAGGGAAGAATCGTAAGTGATTTGGGAAAGTAATTTTTTTTTCCACAAAAATTATCGACTTTATTGTGATTTTTTGGAAACACTACAAAAATTTTAGGGAAATTTATTTTTGTTGAAAATCTGAGTTTTTAACTTCTTGATGACTCCATGCATTTAATGTATTCGTCAAACATAAATCTATTTATAGGAGAATAGATTTGTGTGAATTTTTATTAAGGTAATGGCGAATAAGATTTTTGTTTTTACCCTTTTTTTTTAATAAAGAGGGAAATTAGTTGGAGAGGGGTAAAAAGGTGAATTACACACAATAAAACCAGAGAGGTCATACACCAAGTTTAGGAGAAACCGAATTGGTGAGGAGGAGAGTATAGAGACCAGCCCATGTGTACACGCTTCTTCCCTCAACAATAAATCACTTCGACAACGGAACGTGAACGGATTTTTTCACTTTAATCATCATCACGAGATCAGAGATACAGAGAGAGAGAGAGAGTTGAATCCTTCTTCGATTCGTATGGAGAGGGAGAAGAAGAAGAAGATGGTGTGGTTTTGGCCGGAGAAGCACGACGGTGGAGTAGTTAAGGAGGCGGAGGATGTGGCGGCCGAACATTTATCCAGAGAAGGGACAATGAGCCATTACAGCTTTAGCAAAGGTCTTCTTCCGCCGCTTGGAGTCGGAGCCACCGGTCGTTCTAGCCGTCACATTAAGCTCCGCTGCTTCATCATCTCTCCCTTCGATCCTCGCTACAGGTACGACGATTTTTCTTCGCTAGCTGATTCTGTACCTTTCGTCTTCTGTGTAATTGAGATTTTATGACTGATAAATCGTTGATGCATGTCGCGTGGGAGTGTTTCAGCTTCTCTTCTTCTTCTTAGAATTTCTGTAGGATTTGTAATTTATACACCATTGAAGAAAAAAATGATCTCAATTCTCTCCATAACTGTGAAACTGTTTCCGAATTTTGATGAATCTAAACTGTTCGATGAATTACTTGTGTTGAAGGGACATTATAATTCCGTGACCTCATAGTTTTTTAAGCTATCTAGTTGAATCGTGTAGGTTTGCTGCATTAATCTTTATTGTAAATTCTGCAAAGAGTTCTTATGCATTTTCTCACTTTCCCCTCATTTATCAGTTACATTATATGTACTTGTTGTGTGGCTGATAATGAGTTGCACAATGTTGAATTTTGTTTCAGAGCTTGGGATTGGTTTCTAGTGGTTTTGGTGCTTTACACAGCATGGGCTTCACCTTTTGAGTTTGGGTTCCTACAAACACCAAGAGCACCACTCAGTATTCTTGATAACATCGTCAATGGGTTTTTCGCTGTCGATATTGTTCTGACATTCTTTGTTGCCTTCTTAAACAAGGCAACTTATCTCCTAGTCGATGATCCCAAGAAAATAGCTTGGAGATATACCTCCACTTGGCTTATTTTTGATGTGGTATCTACTGTTCCCTATGAAATTTTTGCCAGCTTATTGCATAAGACTATTCAAGGATATGGAATTTTCAGTATGCTGCGTCTCTGGCGTCTCCGCAGGGTCAGTAATTGTTTTGCCAGGTGAGATTTGAATGTGTATTATCATCTGTTATTATACATGTGTACAGATTCTGGAATGTGGTTACTAGAAAAGTTCTATAATTTTGATAAGACTGATCATCAAGCTATTCAATTCTTTGTAACTGTTGTATTTCATAGTTGCCCTGTTTTGAATTTTCAGATTGGAGAAAGATCGGAAATACAACTACTTCTGGATTCGATGCACGAAACTTCTCCTTGTTAGTATCTGTACACCATCTTACATTAACCAACTATAGTTTGCTGCTGTCACTTTAAGACATTTTGATGGTCGTATTGTAGGTTGCTCTCTTTGTTGTTCACTGTGGCGCTTGCTTCAACTATTCTATTGCTGCACATTACCCAGAACCTTCGATGACTTTTATGGCACTTGCGGAGGAAAATTGGACAAAGAAATCTTTGCTTATCCGGTATATCACAGCAATGTATTGGTCCATAACAACTTTCTCAACAACGGGTTATGGTGATATACATGGTAATAATGCAAGAGAGAGGGCCTTCATTCTCTTCTACATGATTTTTAATCTTGGATTGCTAGCTTATATAATTGGTAATATGACCAATTTGGTGGTTCATGTGACCAGTCGCACCATAAAATTTGTAAGTTCTGTTCATGGTTTGATTAATTGCTCATTTCTTCTTTCCTATGGTACAATTCAGGCACACTATTCCAAGAACACACGAAATGTTCAATGCAATTTCGTTTTGAACTAAGTCACCTAAGTTTTGTCTTATCCTCCTGCAAGAGTCTTTCTATTTTGTTTTAATTTATCTTGTTGATTTTAATGATTTTAGAGAGATACTATCCAAGCCGCCTCAGCATTTGCTCAAAGGAACAATCTTCCAGTGGGATTGCAAGAACAGATGGTAGCTCATTTATCTTTGAGGTACAGAACCGATTCAGAAGGCCTACAGCAGAAAGAGATTATCGATTCCCTCCCCAAGGCTATTCGTTCCAGCATATCACATTATCTGTTCTACGAAATTGTTGACAAGATCTACTTGTTCCATGGAATATCCAATGATCTACTATTCCAATTGGTATGTTTTCCCATTGACAAAGATTCAGACTTGTCTACTTTCTTGTGATTAATCACTCATTCAACCTTCTGACATTATGTAGGTCACTGAGATGAAGGCTGAGTATTTTCCTCCCAAAGAAGATGTGATTTTGCGGAATGAAGCACCAACAGACTTTTACATAATGATCACAGGGGCTGTTGTAAGTTGTTTTCGGTTATATCTTCGAAACTGTTCTTTACTTTTACTTTCAAATTAGTTGACAATTCTACTATATGACAGGACATTATTGCACGTGTGAATGGAGTGGATCAGGTAGTTGGCGAAGCACAAAAAGGTCATGTTTTTGGTGAAGTAGGGGTTCTATGTTACAGGCCACAGTTGTTCACAGTTCGTACCAAGCGACTGAGTCAATTGCTTCGCCTGAACCGTACATCATTCTTAAATCTTGTTCAAGCCAACGTTGGCGATGGAGCAATAATCATGAATAATCTTCTTCAGGTTGGTCCCAAAGCTATTTATTATAATCTATAGTGACTAATATTGAGTTTACTATATTGTCTCATACGAATATGTTATCGTCTAATACAGCATCTGAAAGACTCTGAAGATCCAGTGATGAAAGGCATTTTGGCTGATACAGAACTCATGTTGGCTCAAGGGAAAATGGATTTACCTCTTAGCTTATGTTTTGCAGCAGCCAGAGGAGACGATTTACTGCTGCATCAGTTATTGAAACGAGGCTCAAACCCAAACGAAACAGATACGAATGGCCGAACTGCTTTGGTCAGCTCCAAATTCCTCTGTTTAAACAAGCTATGGCATCCTTTTTCACTCTAAGAACAATCAAATTTCTCACTATTTTATATGTTTTGTGTGTGTGTATTCATCTCAGCATATAGCAGCATCAAAAGGAAAGCAATATTGTGTTGTATTACTTCTCGAGCATGGAGCAGATCCTAATATTAGAGGTATGATATAACGAAGGTTTTATGAGTCCATTTTGTATATATAACAATCTGGTGATCGTCTAGTAATTGTTTAACTAATTTTTCAGACTCAGAAGGTAATGTACCATTATGGGAAGCAATCATCGGGAGACATGAAGAAATTGCTAAACTCTTATCAGAAAATGGCGCAACGCTGAGCTTTGACACAGTAGGGCAGTTCTCTTGCCTAGCTGTTGAACAAAACAGCCTAGATACACTCAAAGACATTCTTAAATACGGTGGAGATATATCACTCCCAGATGTCAACGGAAACACAGCTTTGCACAGAGCAGTCTCAGAAGGAAATATGGAGATTGTGAAGTTTCTGTTAGAGCAAGGAGCGGATATGGACAAGCCAGATGTTTACGGTTGGACGGCTCGAGGTCTTGCTGAGCATCAAGGACATGAAGATATCAAAGCTTTGTTTCATAATCAGAGACCAGTGGAGAAGAAACAGAAATTTGTTTCTGGCACACCAGAGATTAAACCATTGATGAAACATTGCAGCGAGCCTGTAATGATCCACCACCGTTCAAGGGAAGCAATGCCCCCTCTGGTCGGAGCCGTTTCTCAGAGACGGAAGCTCAGTAATTTCAAGAACTCGCTGTTTGGCATCATGTCTGCTGCCAACAGTGGTAAGACGCTTACTTTCTCCATCCTAAAATGAACTTTGGTTGCTATTGTTTCAAGCATCAAACACCACTTCTTCTGCGTTTGCGTTTATGAAAAGAACTACTTTTCAATTGATTCAGGTGATGAAGGTGGCGGATCTACGAGAAGTGCAGT